GGCCAGTATTGTGGAAGAGTAAGAAGCAGACCTTCGTCGCCCTGAGTACGACGGAGGCAGAGTTTGCTAACCTGACGCCTACAGGGTATTCACTGCAGTGGGTGTCAAAGATATTGGAAGACTGTGGTGTGCCACAGCCAAGGCCATACATGCTGTACACCGATAGTAAGAACGCCGAAATCACAGTTCTGAACCCTCAGAATATCGCCAGGACCCGGTGTATCGATATACGGTACAAGTGGGTGGGTGAACAAGTGAAGGAAGGAAGATTTGGTATTCAACACATCTCTGGGTTGGAGATGCCGGCGGATGGATTCACAAAGGCACTATAAAGGGAGAAGCACGCAAAGTTTGTGCAGCTGTTGGGAATGCGAGATTTTCCGGTTTGAGATATGTAGGAGAACGTGTATTTGTATGGGAAAAAGGCCACTAGGGCATTGGGCAAAGGAGTCAAAGGAAGTGGAAGAATCTGGGCGTATATTGGGCTTCGGAGGATATTGGCGATGGCTTCATTTTGGACGGCGGTGTGCTGTCTGTGGGGGGGTGTGGGGCACCAAAGGGCCCAGGTTTTCCCAGACCCACACCGGTTTGCTCTTGGGGCTGGATTTTCTTACTGTTTACTTTTTAACCAACAACCAACTACTGTAATACCAATTTGCTTACCATTTTTTGGCCATTTTAGCCTCATTTTCGCAGCCAGTGACTTTCCTAGGTCGCCAGCCCAACAAGGTAGCACCGCTATCACACATCAAATAACCAACCGGCCACACTACGGCCCAATTACGATCTACCTGCGCGTCGAGAGCCAGTAGTTGGAAGTGAGGCAGGCAATCAAGTGCCTCGCGGCTATCAAAGGAATGGTATTGGCCACAGAGTATGCGTCCTCAGGGCCTGTTTGATGCCTAAACTAATGTTTCGAGCCCTTGTCACAGACACTCCCAACCTGTGCAGCAATTTCTGGGCTGCTGAGCTTTGGTGGGCTTGCGTTTGGTGGTTGATGGCTGTCAAATAAAAAAGTTACCGAGGATAAGGTAGGTCTGGAGGGCCGGCTGATAGGAAAGCAAGCCGAAAAGAATTTGTTCCCACAGTCTGGTCAAGCTGATTGGCCTCTTGAAATGCTGGAATTGTGTTGAAATATGACTGGCATGAATACCGATGCAAACGGACGCAGTTTGGTTTGCAGCACAGGCGACCCAGGAAATTCACTAATTTAGGGCCGGAATTCACTAATTTAGGGCCGGAATTCACTAATTGGGGCCGGAATTCACTAACCTAGGGCCGGAATGCACATTTCTCCTCCCATTTCAAACTCAAGCAACTTCCTACTTTGATCAGAATTTCTCTGTCAGACACGGAGAGATCATGGACGACTCCGACTCCGACCACATCGACTACAATGATCCCGCTTGCTTTTCACGGCTTTTTGGACCCGGTCTCCCCGTTCCAACCTACCAATCCCCAGCTGCTGTCCGCAAGCAAGCCAGGGAGCGATCGCAAACCATCCATGATACATCCACAGCTCTTCGCGACGTTGTGATACGGCATGAGGACACTATCCAGAAGCGATGGATGAAGAAGTCCAGGCAGCAGAGGCTGAAGATCTTGCTTGAGTGTTGGCCTGGCATGGCTGCCATCCACCGCCCGGACTTTGATGCCTTTCGGAAAGAGAACGGCCAGCTGCGCAACGGTGGGACCAGATACCGGGACCATTACCTGTGGCCTTACATCAACCAGGAGGACTTGTGCAAGCCCAAGAATATCCTGCTCCTTCTCAATGCGCGGGCTCGCCATCATGCCTCCGCATTTGCCGCTGCCGACATCACCGCCATCCGTTTGGGCATGACCTCAACCGCCATCGTTCCGATCTATCTCAACGAGTATGTCATGATTTTGAATGGCGCCACCGACGTCGACAGCTATGGCAAAGTCATCAACTGGGATGATCATGAGGACGCGTTCGACTGGATGCATACTCAAAAACAGTTTCTACCTGGTGAAGGCCTGCTCGTGCTGGAGATCCAAGAGCGCATCCTGAAGTTTCTGCTGGCTTTCTGCAAAGCCGTTCTTCGTGATATACCAGTGGAGGCCTTGAAAAGCGATACCTACCAGATCCAACCTGAACCCCATCTCAAGACGGAAATCGAGACCAACGGATTCGACTCACTTGCCGTCATGGCCGCCGAAGCACCCTATCGACTCCCAGCCCGAATCGACTTTGCGCGGATTGACTTGCTGCTCGAGGCCAAGGTATCCGCCGCCAAGGACCACATATGGGCGTTGAGAGAAGACCCCGACTATTTTGCCAACCGGGTAAACGACATCAAAGACCACAGACAGGAGATGCTGAAGGACACCAAGGGCAACATCCATCCGGCTCTTCGCCCAGGTCGGCAGAACATCTTAGGGGCACGCGTCGTTGGCAATCTGATCGTTGAAGCCTATTCTGAGCTTGAAATATTCGCTGAACTGCACCGTCAAGGTAAAGAGCTACGCCTCCTACATGAGAAATACGCCAGCCAGCTGTCACCCTCTAAAGACCTGCCAAAAGAGCTCCTCGGCCACATTCTTACGTTTCGCTATTTTCTCACCCAGGCGGCCAAAGGTCCACTGTCTCAGCTGCTTCATAATGTCTCAGCCTCCCCCCCGCTGCGCAGGCTATTTGCTCGCCAACCCCCCCCCGACGCCACTACTTCCAAAATAGCCATCATGTCCGTCAACGAGTCCAAGCGAACCGCGGTCGAAGGCCGTCTGCTGTGGCTCCTCAATACCCTATGGGAAAATGGAAGGACATTGTTTCTTGCTGGAATGCCCTTGATTCTGGATGAACTACAGCGTTTTCTGGAAGCCGAACCCGAAGCAGCGAACCTTGTTTCATCTCGTATTGCCGAAATGATCAGTAATGCTTCCATTATCAGTCAGTGTCTCAGCCAGCTCGATCAATTCCAGCCTTGGGCGCGAAGCTTTGAGAACGCAGAGGAGGACCAGCTGGATGAGATTCAACAGAAATTTGCGGTCTGGGCTAAACCGCTTGGGAACATCATCCATGGTCTTCAAGAGCAATACTTGCTTCCTGTAGCCGACTTGGCCAGCACCTCCCAAAAGCGTTTCTTCTATCCTGTTGAGAAACGCCGAACAAAAGACACAGTTGAGGCTTTGCGGCAAGCAGAGGAAAACCTAGACCGTTTCTGGCAGGCGGCTGACAAGATTGTGGACTCAAGGTGCAAGCATTTGGAGGGCACAGCCGCCAGAGCTCTCTTCTCTGGAAACCGTGTGTTGCAACGAACCCCCGAGTGGGTTCCGCAGACCAGTACAGAAACACCTGCGGACAAGAAGGTTGGGCCCGTCGAGACCGTTGACAGTGTGGAGGAACTGAGCAAACCCCTTTCGACGCTGTACTTTGGATCTACCTCGGGCCAGAGGATATCACAAGAGCCCAAGCCAAAGACCAAGACCAAAACCAAGGGGTTGCCGTCGTCCGACCAAACAGCTCCCTTGACGACTTCTTTGCCTATCGAAGCCTCCGAGCCGGCGCCCACCATCGCGGTTGACCCCCGCTCCCTCAAGGTTTTCCGTACATTGTTCTTCAACCCCGGTGTGACTTCCTCCCCAGGCGAAATCCCTTGGCAAGACTTTGTGCACGCCATGACCTCGACTGGGCTGTTCGCAGCTGAAAAGCTCTATGGCTCGGCCTGGCAGTTCCAGAGGCTGGGCAGCAAATCGCAGACGAGAATCCAGTTTCACCAGCCGCATCCGAGGGGGAAGATTCCGTTTACGAATGCCAGGAGAATGGGGAGGAGACTGACCAGGGTATTTGGGTGGGTTGGTGACATGTTTGTGGCGAAGGGGGAGTGACTGCGAGAAGATCTGGTTGTCCAAAGTACCTAGTCTAGGTAATTACAGCAGTACGAAATGTATGGCTGCTGTATTTCAGGATCAATGGATTTGACATCATGAGCACTATCCTCTCAGGACTCAATTAGGTAAAGGTAGGCGTATGCGACATAAATATCTGTTGGTTTGTTGGTGGTGACACGGCCGTTTGATTGGTTTGTTTTGTTCTTGCTGCATCGACTTGTTGGGTTTGGGTGTTGGACTTTTTGGACCTAATCTGCCGAGCTAGGAACTGCGCCACGGTTTTCTTACAACCTTGAGGCCACCACCCATTCTCCATCTCACTTTGTCCGGACTCTCCGGTGCGTCTTAATTCTAGGAGATGGCTTCACTCTCAAGTGGGCCCCAGAGTGGCATCAGTCTGTGGGATCACCGCCTGTGGACCCACAACAAAAGCGCCCTCGACATACCGCCGGACAACTCTGACAGGCTAAAAGACACCCATCTTGAGGACAGTGAGGATGACGATGTGGAAGACGACGGCAGCGATTCTGGACTGAATCAAGACATCAAGAGCCACCCGGACGACGCGTGGCTTAAACACATGGACGCGCCTCACTCTTGCCATCTTTGCAGCAACGTCGTCATTCTGGAAGATGGACTGCCCGTCCATGCCTTCAGTCAAGGTGGTCGGTGTATTCTCCGTCTTTCCATGTCAGACAAACGGATGTGGAAAGCGGGGGAGAAGTGCCCGCTGTTTCGCTATCTCTATTCGGTGTTTCAAGAGAGACGGCACCTTCGCCCACATAGATACTCGACTTATGCTGCTGTTGCGAGCGATGTGGAGGTTGGAAAGAGTGCAAGCGCGGGGACGAGCCCAAGGAAGGATCTGTTTATTGGCGTTCGAGATGGGAAAATCAAGTTCTTGTACCGCTGGCCCAGGTTTCGATGTGATGACGAGGATTCACCCGCTGGCGATGCCCTTCTATCGTTGCCGGGTACGTGTTATTTCACTTTTGTGATTCAAGATCTTGTTAAGCTTATATTCTGCCTTAGAAGCTCTCATTTATACTCGTGTGACGTCCGACTGGGCCTATTCCAAAGCCAAGGCGTGGATTGACGACTGCACCTTGCACCACGTCAGCTGTCGACTAGAACCATCCAGTTTTGTTCCTACAAGGCTGTTGGATGTCACGGCGATCATCGATAACAAGATTCGCGTTGTCGAGTCGAAATCAGTGCCGAATATCGGGAATCATGCTAGATGGGCGGCTCTGAGCTACGTCTGGGGTGGTTTACAACCCGTGCGTACCCTCAAGGCGAATATCGAGGACCATCACAAAGGCATCCCGCTAGCCAAACTTCCACCCACCATCCAGCACGCCATTGCAGTCTGCCAAAACATTGGAATCCCCCATCTCTGGATTGACTGTCTCTGCATCATCCAAGACGACAACGACGACCTGGCAGTCGAGCTCCGGTCCATGGCCCAAATCTACCAGTACTCCACAGTGACCATAAACGCCGCCTCCGCCGACTCGGTTCACAAAGGATTCCTCCAAGACCGCCCCATCTACTTTTACGAGGACACCGTCCACCCAGTGCAAATCAGTTTCCGGCCGTCCAAGAGCAGCCCCAACCCCAACACCACCGCCCTCCTCCTCAAAGCCAACAACAGCTATGGCCTCGAAGACCTGGACCCCATCCGCACCCGCGGCTGGACCTACCAAGAACGTAAACTCCCCGTCCGTTCCCTCCACTACTCCACCGCCGGCCTCGAATGGTCCTGCCGCCACGTCGTCGCCACCACCGTGACCGGCGCCAACAAACGCGACGATCCCTTATCGCGTGACCTCCCCGTTGTTCCCGGCCAAGCGCTCGCCCCATGGTCGAGGATTGTATCAGATTACACCAACCGCAAGCTGTCCTTTCCCGGCGACAAGATCACCGCCGTGTCCGCCATCGCGGCAATTTACGAGCAGGAGCAGAAAAAGACGTACGTGGCTGGGTTGTGGAAGGAGGACATGCCCGCCTGTCTTGTCTGGTCTGTCATGGCGAGCGGGATGAGGCCCCGGTACGGGGTGTACACTGGGCCTAGCTGGTCCTGGGCGTCGACGGACTCGCATGTGTCGTTCAAGACGGAGGAAGAAGATGAAGAAGGGGTTGTCTTTTATGGGACTGTTCTCAAGGCTGAGGCTGAGCCGGTGATGCCTAAGGCGAGGTTTGCGGCGGTGAAGAGTGCTTCGTTGGTGATTAGGGGGAGGGTTCATCGGGTTAGTTTGAGGGTTGATTTTGAGACCGTGGAGTCAGACATTGAGGGTGTTGTTTCGAAAGAAAAGAAGGCAAATGTGACGGTCACGGCTGCGAGGGCATATGCCGATAAGATTGGGGTTAACCTTGATGCTTGGGAGGATGGGTGGGCGGGGGATTCCGGGTCTGCTGTTGTGGACGTGTTGTTGATGCCATTGTTCGAACGGACAGTGCATGATCCGGACATTGGGATGTCGAACTGGGGAGGTTTGGTGGTTGTCGAAACTGAAAAGGGAGCTTATCGCAGGATTGGGTATTTTGAAGAGTACTTTTACAAGAGGACCGTCGGGAGAGTGACGTTTGCCGATTTTATTGTCGGGGCTGAGTTGAGGGATGTCTTGTTGGTGTAAAGTGGTGGACCGAGAGAGGACCAGATCTGTGTCTTGTGGCTGAGGGTAGCTTCCTAGGAAATAAGACGCCTATATGATGTTCCTTAGAGTCAATGGTTGAGTAGAGGGCGTAGGATGATGCTTGGTTTCATAAAAGTTGTAAGATACCTAGTGCAAAGAACTACCCAAGAAGACCTCTTTTGTTGACACCCAGGGCTTTCTCCACTTGCCTTGACCGTGGATTTCCGCAATACAAAGTAAAAGCCTTGGCCCAGAATGATTTATGAAAGTTTTGCATTGAACTGAAGTTGAACCTGAAGAATCCGAAAAGCCTGTACCCCACAAAAACATTCGTGATTTCTGGCAAGAATGCCTAAATTGACATTCCTATTCCAGAATCAGCAAGGATTCTTCCGAAAGGTCCAAGTCAAGAATCTGTTGAGGAGGATGGAGCAAAATACTGTATCACGCTGGGCCGTCAGAATGAAAAGAAAGTTCGAATCAAGACCACATCTTGATGACTTACTGCAGATCGGAATCGAACTGACTCCCAATCCCGAGCAGGTCCGGCTCTGGATTCAGATTGTTTTTGATCAGCCTCTTGGTATCCATAGTGCCGCTCAGAACGTTGTGAGTTGAAGCTGTGTAGCTTGTTGAGCGTGACTGGGACGCCGAAGATCCATTTCGAGCAACGACACTCGAAGTTCGGGTTAGGGTTGTACTGCAGCAGCAAGGGTGATTAGACTCGACAGTATGTTAAAGGGAAAAACGAAAGGCATTGTAAAGTGGTAAATCCGTCAGGGAATACGGGGTCGAAAGTGGAAACCAGGAGATGACTGGGCATACTTGCTAGGATCGTCGAAGGCCATTGTCGGTATGAAAATAAACTTGACAAAAGTAGCACCAAGGTAGCGACAAGAAAGATGGTTCACAGGCAATGATTAAAAGGCTATCAGTTGAAGTTGAAGAAAGAAGACTTATGGGAAGGATCAAGGTGTTTATAGTCCGCAGTGGATAGAGGCAGGAGGAAAGCTAGGTACCTCACTCTGGTACATTACCGAAGACTGTAGGGTTCCACAGATACATGTGTGCCAGACATCCACCGACCCTTACGAACATGATAGCTGTTTCTAGCATGAATCAACACCAGAACCAATTGACGGTGTTCAGGACACCGGAAAAGCCGTCTGGAGTCTTGGAACACAAGAGCGCCAAGGTACTTCGTCATCTGCCTGCGAGGTAGAATCGACGCATGACAGCCACGACAGTGCCCAGTGTCGCCTGCCACACCCGCAGCCCAGACCTCGCTGATGACAGAAAGGCCTCAGACTTTTGTACAGTCTGATTCGCTCCTGACATTTTGTTGACTGTTAACCTAACCTCCGCTAGAAAATCGCCGGCATTGTGACACCGATCTCATTGGGTCTGATGTAGCTTCCTTCCCATTGGGCCGTGACCTTTTGTTCCCCATCTCTGACAGGCCATTGACGTTTTTTGTCATATCTATGATTGGTTGTTGGTGTCTATTTCTGCCCCTGGTGGATAGGTTGAGGTACACCTCAGCGGTCCCACGACCGATTACGGTTCGTGGAGACGAATACCCATGTAAAGAGATACAAGCCAGCTTGTCGTGCATGTCAAATGGGAGCAGTCATGGATAGGTAGGCACATGGGTGGTACCTTGGGCACATTAGCACGGACCACCATCGATCAATCTCCAAGCATATAAGCCAAGCCCACAACACTCCCTCAATGACATGCCCTTCCTTTCATACTCCGGTGTACCCAACATCTCATTTTACCCATTCACTATCCAAGCAACTTTGGATCAAAGACTCTCAATGGACATCAGCAATCTGACCCCTTCGTCCCAGGAGGCCAAGTTCCTTCATATTCCGTATGAGGAGCGTTGGAAGGCTTTGAAACCCATCATTATCCCTTCTACCTGGAAGCCCGCGGTTCCAACGGCAAAGGCTTGACGATAAGCCAAGTTGCCAATTTCATGAAGTGCCATTATCAGTTCCACGGCGCGTTAGTATTTTCGTTCATTTAGATTGTTTATACTGCTAACATTTGTACTATAGCGAAAGCCAATATCGGCGCTGGTTCAGGGAGTGGGATGTTCGTAAACGAACCCTTACCAGCGAGAAGAAAGAGATTGTTGCGGCCATTGGCAAGCGATCCAGTCATGAATTCAGCACATCACACGTCAAGTTGGCCAACGCAGGGCTCTGGACAAGAAGCAGATGAAGAGATACCTCGGTGATCAGATTCGACACCAGTCGATCGATCCCATTTTGCCAGGAGTGTAAGTCATACCTAATAGTTGATGGTTAAATGGCAACTGACGATATTCCGGATACCTATCTCATACAGGCTGTCATCATGGAGCCTTCCATATGCAGCATACGCGAAGACCTTTGGTAAAACGCCCGACCAACCTTCCCCATTCCGCCCGGTAGGCGCAACGCCAGACTACATGGATATCCAGCCTTGCGATGCAACCACACCGGGAGGACACACATTTAGTCCGTCACCAACAACTCAGCTAGTGCATAAGAAGGTTGCGTGGGACCGCTCCAGTCTGCTCTTTCAGGGGCGTCATAAAGAACTGTTGGAAAGCTGTGGTAGGGATGATCGCACGTAAGAGGAGCTATTTCCTATAACTGAGATATCTGCTTTTTTGTGGCACCTGTTCTGACCGAGTCTAGCACGCTCGTGAATTACCTCCACGACTTTCATGTTCACGCATTCGTCACGGCAAAGTATTGGGGCATGGGACCACGTCAATGGACTCCCAGAATGATATCTGCGTTCACGCTTGGCTCGTTCACGGTTGACAGTCCGATGACAGCACTGCCGCTACATCGGCATCCAGCCATCATGACGAGGCTGAGATACCCGAAGCTCCTCCGCTGCTTTGTCAGTGGCCGATTTTGGGGAATGAGCCAAGCAATCGAGGGGTTTTGGATATTGACGAAGACAACGGCGATGACTTCTTTGATGTCAATACTCCAAAATCATGGAAACTGTGGAAAAGGAGCTCGGAGTCGTCCATGGTCGCCACGATCAAGGAAAGCCTGATTCAGAGCACCTTCTCACGGACATCTCCACCCCAGGTGCCGATCTTGACCGAGTTCATCTCACGATCAGTGGCACAGGATCCCCACGCCATTCAACTAGAGGCCTTCAAAATGGCCATCTTGTCGGGCAACCAGAGCCTTTTGGTCGAGCTCTGCCGGCAGAATGACGGACATTTGCCAGCAAGGATCAACGAGATCAACCCTCTTCACCTTGCCGCGACCTTTCTCCATGGTGGTAAGTGTTTCGAATTGATGTTAGAGCTATTGATTCGGCTCCAGCCTCGTGACATCTCTACTGGGACCCAAGACAACTTTCAGCATACAGTACTGGACACTCTCCTGATCACCATTCTCCGATCACACACCTCTGTTTGGCCCGATGAGGTTAGTTTGGCCTTTAACCCGCCCAACCGATTCCCAGGAGAGGAAAAGGACATTTGCGGCAGATGGGATTGCGACTCGCCAGTTCTTCGTTCTCTCTTCAGGCGGGGATATGCCCGTGTGCAAGACGACTGGAAGCATCCATTCTGCCATACATCTGTGACAGCGGTATGTCACAGCATCATTACCGTGACCACTGCGCCTGGGTTTACCGACATCAACACTCTCAGCGGTCTGTTCGTCCGGCGGTGTGCTTGTTGCGGTTTGGAGCTCAAACTCAGCCCGCTTCAGGCAGTTGTTGTGCTGGCCTTCTACCTCGCGCATCGCGGAATGGGTGGAGAAACCCTTTTCGGCCCACTGGCAATGGTCTCCTGTCTGCTTTCTTCGGGAGCAGACTCATCGCTAGAAACGGTTGTGTCCATCCGCGACATTTTGGGGACCACCAAGCCTGGGCGATGCTACCATGAGTTACTTGATGCCTATGGATTGATGGTACAGGTTCCTCAGTCTTTGGTGGCGAAGTGGCCACCCGAATGTAGGACTGGGTGGCTATGCATCAGGCGTATTCTTCAGATACGGTATATGAATACCAGCAGGCTCTCATCACAACGGACATCGCCACCTGACATTGACGAAGAGCCACGCTCGGCTTCAGGGCATCACTCTGGCCCCGGATTGGGAGATGATATGATGCAGTCCGGACTGTGTAGTAGCGCTATTGTGTCGCCCCAGGAACTGATCTGGGGAGCCATTCAGCTGGAGCTACTAACATATCGCCGAGCAAACAAGGAGACCCTTGGCTATCTCGGAAATTCTCGATGGGAGCACTCAAGTCTTGGTTGGATACTGGATCGTCAAACCTTTTTGTGATGGTTTTGGAGCACGGCTATGACATCTCAAAACTGGAAGATCAACACATATTTTGTTCTTGTACCTTGGGCAGGGGGTTTATGAAGGCTGCAGCAGCGATCTTGAGGAGAAAGATTGGAGAGAACCGCCGATAAGTGAATGACCACTTCTTTGGCTAAATCAACTACGAACCGTGCCGTTTCATCACAGTCATTATTCATTATTCGCGCTGATACTTTGTGACAGAGAATGTAAATAGACAATTCTCTCCATTTGATTAAGATATATAGAGTCCCAAAGCTACTAGCAACTAGGTACCTACACCTCGGTCTCAATCCCCTGCTCCTTATCACTATGATGCACGAGCCCCTGAACTTTGCTCTTCCCATCCTTGACCTTGTCCGCCATCCAACCCACCGACCTAGCGGCCTTCCACTGCATGACACCTCTATGTTTGCGGTGAAGCTGCTTGTGATGCCTCTTGTAGTCCTGCAGCTGAGAAATCGGCCCCCGTTTCCCATCATCATCGCTGACGTCCTTTCCATCCACCAACGATGACGCTCGCTTCTTGATCTTTGTTTTTACCTTCTTGACAGGCTTGATGGGGTTTCCATTTCCTGACTGTCCGTCTTCTTCTGAAGAGTACTCAGTCGTACTATCCTGGCCCGCCTTGCGAAGCATCTTTCGCTTCTCAGCTTCCTCATTTGAATCTCCCTTTCGTGGTGTACCCTGACCGCCGTCTTCCCCAAAGTCCGAATCTGAGCTGGAAGATGACTCTGAGTCTGAGGAGGAATCAGACCCTGAATCTGAGTCATCATAATAGTCAATCATCTTCTCGTCATTCACCGTGTCCAAGACTTCCAGCACGCTCCTGATACATGATGACTTGTTGCTCGACTTTCCTCCAATATGCTTGTGATAACCGCTCAGTCCTCTCCACAACCTGACCGTCAGCTCCACTTCACCGAAAGGCTCTTCGCCGTCCTCCAGTCCTTCATAATCGGCACACCCCCTTGCCCGCTTCAGCTGCTTTTTACCGCCCTTCCAGACGTTGAGCCTGACAGTCGTCTCCTCCTCATCGGGGATGTCTCCCAGCCACAAGACAGCCAAGGCAACGGCATCCTCTCCCATAACCTTGCTCGTATCCTTGAACTCAAGCACTAACGAAGTTGCATATCGGTTCGAAACGCCGACAAAGACATTCTCCTTGCTCTGTCTCTTGGGTCTCCACGCGTCAATTTCTGAAGAGAAGTGCATCTTTTCCTTTCCAATCTTGGTCTTGATCTTTATTTTGTTCCACTTCTTCATGAGCTCCTGATTCAAACCACCCGCAGGCTTGATGGGTGCTTTGACCTCCAGAGTCCCATACTCCCATCCGGTCCCAATTTCCTTGACCATGTTCAGCTTCACGCTCCTCCAGACCATGCTGACCCTGACACGGCCATAGCCGATCCCACCCGCAAGAGGCCATGTTCCCATGACTTGGCTCCTGTCGGCAAAGACCTTTCGCAATGGCAGGTACACCACTCCCAAAAGAGGATCGCTCTCCCCTTCTCGGCTATCTCTGACAGAGATCATAACCTCGGCAGTCTTCCAGTCCCTGATAAACCGCTCCGTTCCGGCGTTGAAGAAGGGATGCGCATTTCTAGGCTTCGTTCTGGTCTTGTACACCTGGACATGGTTGAGGATGATGGTGCAGTAGCCGTCGGGTGCATCCCCGTCTCCAGCCTCCCCTTCTTCCTCAATCTGGTTTCCGCCCGAATTTGAATCGGCCGAACGGTCGCGGTTGAGCTTGGCCACCTCCAGCCCCGTGATGTTGTGAATCTGGATACTCAAGATTCCGCTCGGATATCCTTGTGGGGGAGGAGCAGAGATGATCATCATATCCTCCATCTCTTTCAGATCCTGTACCTCTTGCTGGGCTAGTTCGTCCGTTTGTTCTTCTGAGCCGGCGTCAAGCGCCTCTCTCAGCTTGTGCTTTGTCTGCTCCTTGGTTTTCTTCTTCAGACCCTCAACGGTCCGAATCGATGGGTCGACGGTCTGTCGGTCAAGTTGGCACTGTTGGATATGTGCCTTGGAAAAGTACCCCACCGACCACTTCAACTGCCCCGGCAGCTTCTCGTCAGGATCGTCCGCGTGCAGGTCATCCTCCCTCTCACACATCTTATTTCTCGTGTCTTGGCCGTGCATCAACTCCTTCAGAGTCACTTCCACCTTTCCCAAATCGTCATCGGCGGTATGCTTGTCCGAGTCCCAGAGCTGAATTCTGAGTGTTTCCTCCGCGTTGATCTCATCTGGCGACACCAGGACAAATATCCACTCGTTCCAGTTTGGCGATTGGTCGCTCTTGATGATTCGCGTCGAACCAACCGGCTTCCCAAACTTTCCCCAAGAAACCGAGACATACGAATCGCTGGAGCCGGGCTTGATAAAACCCAAGCCACTATCACCCTCCTTGAACCCCCTGGCCCGATCGATATGCACCGCCACGATGCCCCTCGAGACGGTGTCCTTCTTGAAGTCGTCCCCGACAAGCATGTCCTTGAGGTTCAGCGTCAGTGACTTGGGAGCAACGTATTCCGCCAATGCTGCATCCATAGCCGACTGCACGAATCCCGAGATCAAGGGCACGTTCATGAGGTTGAGATTGTGCTTCGACAGCGGTACACAAGAGATGTCCGCCCTGGGTTGCCCCAAGAAGGTGAGAGTGCAGAGCTCAAAGAATGGCGGATCAGGGGTAAGCTGCAGCCTGAACCTCATCACACCCACCAACCCCTTCAGTTCCACCCAAACAGGCACAGCCAGCCCACCAGGCAGGTAGAATTTGAGGTACAGATGGGCGTTTTTCGCCTTGGACTTGATCGTCTTCCCCGACTTCTGCGCCCGGTATGCAAATGCCAGTTCCAAGTTGACAAAATCCCCTTCCTCGGCCTCCATTTCTTCTTCTCCATCCCCATCGTCATGGCTCACTGACTCGGCTGCTTTGGCTGTGGGCAGCCATTTGACACCCAAGATGCGCACACCTTCGCTGCCTTGACCGATGTCGTCCACACTCACCATCCTGATGACTTTGGGGAGGGAGGCTTGCATGACATCTTCCAGTGTATCGACCAGGGAGGCAAATAGGTCGGGGTTGATGAGTGGCCAAATGGAACCGAGAAGCGAGTTGAGCCAGGCAACAGACTCGGGTAGATTGTCGGATGATCTGTTGTTTAGCGACATCTCTTGTTCTCGATCCGCGTCCCAAACTTGATCTTCTAGAATTTGGTCGACTTTCTTCGAGATCCAGAATGAGAGACCTTGCGCGAGTCCGATGGTAGCAAGAGCTGTGACTGCAATGACGGCGGTTGTTGTGATAAAAGTGGACTGTGTCCAGTTCTGTCGTTGTTCAAGGACCGCTCCCCATCCTAGGCCTAACACCACTAACCCGAGAATCACCCCAATGGCGATGCCGTAGACACTCAGCGCCTTCCTGTATACCCTACCCAACTCCTTCTTCGTGTGCTTCAAGTCTGGCGGTGGGAACAGTCCCTGCATCAGCTCCTCATCTCCACCCTCATCATCACTTGATAACCCCGACACCCCTGAGTCCGACCCCACGGCTTTCAAATCCCCGTCCGTCATGTCGTGGATCACCACCGGTAAATGCGTCACCGGATCGGTAACCTTTCTTCCCTTTCTTCGCTTCTTCCCCTTGTGTGCCTTCTTCATCGCTTTGCGCTTTTCTTTCGGTGAGATAGTCGCAGCCGCGGTTTCTGTTGCGGACTTTTCCTTTGGATCAGTTTCCAGCTCGTCATCCCCGTCAGTTGCTGTCTCTTGGGCAGAAGTTTCATCGGCATCTGATTGCTGTTTAAGTGCCTCTCTTTCGTCTTGTGGGATGGTGTGTCGATTGACTGACTGGTAGGGCGTTTGCTTGTCACTGTTTTGATCCTCATCTTTGGCGATGGTTTTGATGGATTGATAGGCTCGTTTGCCTTTAGACTTTAAATCAGTATTGCCGTTTGCTGAGTCGATGCCACCGGCGGCTGGATGGGTCGTGTTGTCGTCTGGATTGTTGTCATTTGTGGGAATGGCCTCGATTTCGTTGGCGGCGGCCTGCTCCTGGCGCTGCTTGATCTCAGCACGGTGTTCACGGTATCCTCTAATGGTCGGGACTGGGTGTTTGGATGTGTATGGACCGCCATGGGCGCGGCGGGGGCCGCGTTCTTCAAACTCGTCCATTTGTAGGTAGTTGTCAACGGTAGAGTGATACTAGCGTTGAGTAGGTAGTTCAACTAAGAAAGAAAATAAATGAGAACAATAAATGAGTTGGAGTAGGTAGATAATAAGGTGTTGGTGACACGGGTGTCGTCACTGGGCTGGGTATGCCAAGGCAAGGACTCAAAGCAGGTATGAAACATGCCATTGAGTGAGCCGAGTTCCGAGATTGACTGGCTAATTGATGCACGGGCAGTCGACAGCTGCAGCGGAGTACAAGTGGAAGAAATGCTGAAGTGCTGCGAACATGAACTGCATTGGTGACGTCACTTGCCAAGCTTGAAGCAGGAATAACAGAACTAGCCAGGTAGCTAACCCCCCCCACCGGCTCTTGCATACTCTATGCCAGGTCCAATGTAATGCACAAGCTATCATCCCCATGCACGAGTTTCTTGTCATCTTCAAGTCTTTCTCGGTCAACATAGAACCACTCCTCCAATTCTTGCGGAACCGGCGCAGGAGAGAGATTCTCATCAGCCGGCAAACCGACATCCTTGGGATCCAACTTTCCAGGTGTGCCTGACAGAGTTGTGTTGTGTCTGAACAATTTGTCAATGCTGTGCATCCACGGTGAAACAGAGAAACTCACAGTGAGATACCCCCCTTCTCAACCTTCCCATGCACCAATCTTCTCCACGCCTCACTGCACTCCTTCACAACCTTGAGAGCGTACGCCTTGTCCATGAACTTGCCCTCCAACGCATAGTCATTCGGAGGGTACCCATTAGGAACCATGTAGATCCTGAACCAGTCTCTTGTCGCATCCAACAGTCCCGGCAGATGCTTCTCTACGTCGCTAATGTCGTGCAATTTGTCGGCCAACGGGTCAGTCACATCGATAACAATCAGCTTCCAGTCTGTTTCGCCTTCATCCAGCAGGCCTAGGACTCCAAGAATCTTCACTTGTTTGACGTCTCCAGTTTTCGCTATCGCACGGCCGATCTCACAGGCGTCGATGGGATCATTATCACCCTTGGCATCAGTGTCGGGATCTGTGTAGTGCGGGTCTTCCCATGTCTACCTTGATTTGTCAGCCCTGCACTCGCAGAGGACCATGAGTGGCAAACCTGAGGAAGAGCACCATAGTTCCATATGTACCCTTTGTAAGGAAAGCAACTTCTCGTGAATCGTGGGTTTCCATCCAAGGTGTCTTGTGTGATGGGGTTCATGCTCTTGCCTCTTGATATCTGGATGGAATTTTCGTCAGCATCGTGGTTGGGGATGTCTTGGTCATTGTGATCAAAAGGTTACCTCAAACTTGGCATTCGTCCATCTTGGCACTTCAACCACCATATTGAACACGTTCCGGGCTTCATCGTGATACAGTGGGATGTCATGGAATGGAGAAACAGCGATTTTGTCGGCATTGCGCTCAAAATAGACCTGGTAGTCCTTGGTGAAGGGGTGGCCGACTCGGCGGAGCGAGTATTGTGGTTTGGACAAGTCCATAATGGCTGATACGGTCAACAGTCCAGCAACTGAGGGGAAAGTCTACCAGTATAGTATGATGTGGTTCAAGTAGAGATTGGACGAATGGATGACGTCACTCTATGCTGTTCCAGGTACCTATAGGTGTAAGGCAACACAGCACAAATTCCAAAAGACTCAAGCGAACGAAGATTCAGTTCTTGTTTTCATTGGTAGAATATTGGGCTCGTAACTGTCAAAATAGTGGCTCTGTTGACATGCAACAAATCCTGGCCAAAGCAATATTGTTAGAGATTCAGGGGTTCAGGGGCTCAACGAGTAGCTGGCCCCACAAGCCCGCATTGTCAACCCCTTGAGAGTCGTGTATCGCTCACTGTTCAACCTCCCTCCAATACCGCCACCAGGCCCTCTCCCACCGTCCCTTTAACCCCTCCAGCCAATCGCTAAACTTGATCTCCCCCCCACCATACTCCAACACACCATCCTTACGCACACCCTTCCACCCCTTCACAGGTGACTCAACCAGCATATGGCCCCAAGGACAGACCTCGACATAGTCGTTCACTGGCCTCTCTGCAATGACTCCCGCCTTGCCGTTCACACCGGCTGCCGAGGGCGAGATAATATCACCATTCTCGAGAATCCCCGCAGTGTCGTAGTGGCTCTCCCTCACCCGGTGGCATTCCTCACACAAATCTACATTGGTGCAGTAAACACACGTGTAAACCTTCCCCTGTGAAAAGTCGGTCAGGATCTTGCTGCACATGGCGCACTCCAAGCCCGCAGACTTGTTGAATGCGTATTTCCCCTCTGGCTTTTGTACCGGAACAGGAGCCTTGGCCGGCGAGACCGTCCGCTTCGGCGAGTCCATCCTCCTGGGAGAGTTTGTTCCCTTTGGTGACGTTATCCTCTTTGATGACAGCGCCCTGTCGACTGTCGTAGCTTGCTGCTGCAACGGCCGCTCAGTACTGACTCCACCGGCAGAAGGCAGCAAGTAAAACTGGCAGCTCAACGCAATCTGCGCATCCTCCTTCAACAGGCTCTCTCCGATTCTGCCTGGTGGCGGTAGCACCAACACCGAAAGCACCTTTGCCAGCAGCCTCAAACTAGGGGCGTCATTGACCTCAGTACCATCAGTCAGAGCCTGGCAGCACGCCTCAAAGCTATCGTTGAGATCGTTGTAGAACTGCTCCGCCGGCCCAACCTTGCGGCGCATGACTGCCAATACAATGGTGCTCGTCTTGGAAAGCTTGGGCTTGAACTCCAGACCTAGCCTGTCTTTGAGCATTTGGACGACCGTGCTCTCCATGTCCGTCAGGACACCTAGCTTGTAGGACAAGCTGCGGGATATGCGGAACTCCTCGAGGTAGATGTCTGCCAGATGTCTTGCCGCCCTTTCTGAGGCAAAGAACGAGATCTTGCTGGGCGGGTTCTGGACAAGCTTGAGCAGCTGGTTCTGGGCCTTGCGCGGCTCGTTCATGACGAAGCGGTCAAACAGGGAGAGCCAGATTCGGATGTCAGATTCCTCTGTTGACGTGTCTTCGGCTAGGGTATCTGAAGAGGCGGCTTCAACGTAGAGCTTCCGGACAAAAGACTTTTCGTCGGTGGCCATGGCGGCGCGGTGGATATGGCGGTGTGTTACATCTGTGCAGCGGATGGTGAGAGGGTTGGACCATTCTGAGAGAGCCTTGAGAAGCTGGATAATCTCAGCGTAGAGCTTCTTATCACCGAAGGCCACGACGAGTTCTTCAAACACGCGCGTGCAAGACTCGGTGGTTTGGAAAGTGGCTGCCATCTGCATGGAGGCGAGCGCATCTCGGTGGTGAGCGTCCAGGGTGCTTTCTACGCGTGCCTTCATTTGATAGGCTGCGTTGAGCATGTTCTTAAAAGGTTGGTCTTTTGGATCAACAGGCGGGATATCACTGAGACAGAGGTTCCAAGCGGCCAGAACAGCTTCCGGTGTCACCCCCGGGCCGCTGCTTTCGTGTTCAGGATACACCCACTCATCGAACCTGGCACGAGCGATGCGATAGCGGAGGTCGAAGATGTCGCGAGAATTTTTGGCCAGTTTGAGGCCTTTCTCTGCCGCCCTCTGTGCGCCCATGTTGCGGAGATCGTAGTGAAGGGCCTTGGAGATTTGTTTGTATTCTTGTGGACCAAGTGGCTGCGGATAACGGCCGATAGTCGCCACTGCCTCAAAGTCTTCATCCGGCCATATGTTGACCCCCGAGTCAATCTCTCCTCTTTTCAGCTTTAGTTGCGGCCCTTGGATCAGGCTTCGGAGAGCCGGTGCCGTGAGCGAACAGAGAGCCACATGCGCAAAGCGGAACCCCGCAAAAGCTTTACTGGAAGTAACAGTCTTGTCGCTGTCCAACCAGTTCCGCACATGCCCCATAGCAACTGTGATGAAGATTGAGTCGCTGTTCCTCAAAGTGGAACTGACCCAGTGTGACTCCTTCTCAGACAACTGATGTTGGGCTGGTAGTTTAGACACTTGTGAGCCAATCGCCAAGAGGGCAGCGAGGACCTCGTTAACTTCATCCCTCGTGAAGCCAAAGATGCTGCAAAAGTCCTCAACATCTTCCGAGTCTTGCTGAAACTCGAATTGGCCTTCGATTGTTCTCAATGCACCGTCACCGCAGCCGAGAAGAGCGTATAGGTCCTCAGCCACTGCTTTGACTTCCTCAGGTGAGCTCAAGGGCTGTGCTTCGACCAGGTGATAAAAGGCGTATTTCGTTGACACGGAGACAAGGGATGGGTTTTGTGCCGCCTTTGGAGTGGTGAGTATGGTTGTGGTTAGTTTGAACATCATGATGCGCGCCTGGTGCTCTGTGGGCTGCAAGTCACTGCTCGTTGCGGGATCATGACGTCTAATAAAATAGTCTCGCAGTGAGTGCTGTTGGAAGCTTACCAACACTTCCGGTACGGTGGTTTCTTTTCTGTTGGGAAAACGGGGGATACCATCATTGTTGTCGTCGTCGACGTCAGGACTTTCAGGGTACAGGGTGTTGTCCTCGGGTTCTGAGAAGGAGAGAATTCTGAACATCAAACGTGTTAGCTTTGGCAGTTTAAAGAGTCTGGGCTAAAACTCACTTTGCTAATCTTCCCAAGATCTCAGTCTTGATGTCCAAATGGAGCTTCCTGTCGCCGAGCACAGCAACGAGTACCAAGTCGACAAGTTTCTGCGCAGCATCAAGGCTCACACGATCGTACGAGTAAGCAAGCCAGGTAAAAAGATAGCCCAATGCCCTCTTCTCGTTGATGTTTGTGTAGTATTGCTCACATTCCTGAAATAGTTGATGGTAGATAGCATCGGTATTCTTGGGAAGCGCAACTGGCCTGAGCGAGCTTTCTATCAAAGACGCAATCTTCATGGTGTTGAGTTGCCGAAGCATGTAGTTGACGTAGAAGAATGAGTCGGCAGACATTTCCATCGCCGAGCAGAGCTTGCGTTTGAGGGAGGATCGAAGTCCCACAAGCCCTGGGTACAGCTCGACACGGGACTGTGTCAGCAGTTTGAAGTCACCAGACAAGACCGCTTGATCTAGCGTGATTGTGTGGTCGACTCTGGGAAGGCGTCTCTTCAAATCCCGGGTACCGGAAATCACAAAGGTGATACGCAATCCTGCGGCTTGTTTGATGTAGCGGGAAAGACGACTAAGCTGATCGTTCTCCAGTTGGTCGATTCCGTCCAAGACGAGGTAAAGCCGCCTGCCTTTTGTAGCGGTTTTGGCGAATGTTGAGCCGTACAACTTGTCCCAGGCATCCTTCTTCCACTCTCCCTTCTCGTCGTCGTCAACCAAGCTCTGAATGTGCTGGCGATAGCTGTTGTCCGTTGAGGCGATCTGGGCTGAACAGAAGTAAAGCACATTATCCACTCTTTCCAGTTTCTCAAAGTTCTCATCGAAGATGAATGACGCCACAGATGTGAACGGGTCGTTCTCGAACTCCAGGGCGAGACGGGAGTAGATAGCAAAAGAGAAGAAGCTTTTCCCCATGCCGGACTCTCCACCAATGTACCACACGCCGCCGTCCATGGTCTTCAATTTCTCAAAGTCATCATTGAACCAAGCAAATGTATTCTTGACGAACTCTCTCTCCATTTTCACCCATCTCTGCTGGATTAGCTCTTCAGCGCCAGTAAATAATGATTTTGTGATGATGGCGAGGGAGTTGTATCTCCTAGCATCGGAGCTGCCAGTCGACTTGGCGTTCTTTCCCACAAGAATGTTGAAGATTCTATCATTGTGCTGGCGGATCTCTTCTCGAAAACCGCGTTGCTCCTCGTCTCGCCTCTGTCCGCGCTGCGACTCGTAGCGCTGGTTGCTCAGGACTACAGATAGACCGCTGTTTACCCTTCTGAAACCACTGTCCATCCGGGAGAAGCCCCGCTGCAGCATCCTCTCGGTCTTGTCCTCAAAGTCAAGCACCGAAGCCAAAGTCTGGGCGACGATGGCGGAACCCATGTCGTCAATGGCTGTGACGACTCGATCATAGGCCTCTTTGAGCTCGTTGTCTTGTCCTCGGAACAGAGCCTTCGCCCATTCTTTGACTCGGTACTGGTCCTTCTTGAGACGCATGTGGGCTCGGGTGCAGAACTCCAGCATGTGGGTGAAAGTCTTGAGGATCAAGTTGCGGAACCGCTGCTCCTCCGGCACTCTCTTAAGAAGGCCTAGTCTCTCGGCAAAGGACCTCATTATCACGAAAAGATTTTGTATGAGGTCAAGATCGGCTGACACCTCGGTGAAGGAGGTCATGATGTGTGTAAATGCGACGGCAACTATCGCTGCGGGCGTGTCTTCGGCAAGCCTTTCTAGGACCGGACCGACGCCAGCCATGGCCGAGGCAAATTTCCCCAGGCCATGTCGAATCTTGTCGATCTTCCCGCCATCATTGCGAAGCAACTGGAATTGCTCATGTTCGGCTGTGAGTTTGTCAACCAACTCGTCGACTTGCTGTTGCTCGGGTTTGATGGGCTTTTCGTCGTCGTCGTGATCTTGGTGCTTGGTGTCCTTTGTAGAAACCAGTGATGATGTCTTCTTTGGTCGAAGGCTGTTCCAAAAGGAAACAAAGATGGTGGTTTTCTCTTTGTTGGTCGTGCTCTCCAAGTCGACTTTGGTTTTTTCGCGGTGTGCAGCGACTGCTTCGTTCCAGAGCTTGACTATTTCCGGGTCCGCAAACATATTGGCCATGACTGCGAACTGAATTGTATTGAGGAGGTTGAGGAGGCGGAATGATGTGGTCGTCTAAGGTTCCATTTATGAATGAATGTAACGAGCTGGATGGAGCCTGAAGCATGCCAACTTCTTCAGCAGTGATGAGCCTCATCTGGTGCCAACACTGCCCCACGCAAGTGTGAGGCGGCGGTTAAAGCGGATATCCTACACTATTGGTTCATTGGCTATGACCTCGCTTTGGATGGCTGACTGCATATACTGGGGCCTTGGCAGAACATCACTGACTTGGGAAACTCCATTCCCATGCATGACGTGGATCGTCGTGGATTGAGGCGACGTAATTCGAAGCCACCATTGATGCGAATTGCAGAACCTATCCGATCAATACGTTGCACGACTGACTACTGAGCCTGAGCTGCTGATAGATCCAAATGAATGCGATCGTTTAGAAGTACCTTGAGTTGAAGTGGCCACTTTCCCACCATTGAAGGCGCCCATCCTTTCCTCAGTCAAAGGTTTCTGGCTTTTCCTCGACGTCCCCACGGTCATATGAAGCCATAAGCTCAGCCTCTCTCTGCCGGCGTAAGTGTAATCGTCTTTTTGCCGCCAGTTGATCGGCACGGGTAGGGAAATTCAGGAAGTCTTGCGAAGCTCTGTTCCTACTATCCGGCCCATCAATGGGAAGATCTTTGCGCTCCCAAATGTTGCGATAGATGCCTGTCAAGCCTAGCGGTTCCTCCGGATCGACTCGATGAGTATTTTCATCTGTTGGAAGGATGGGTAGCGGACACTCTTCCGGAGTGTCCGCGGTCAGGAAATCGAGAATGGCACGCTTCTGGTCCTCGAGGAGGCGGCAAATTCGGTAAGTCACGAGATCCCTGTTTGGATGGAGATATATCGCGTGTTCGTCGGCCTCTGGTGTGTCATCAGAGGAGCGTCGGTCAAACAGCACAACACCCCCCCAAATTCTTGCCTCAGCCCAGTAACCAACCATATCGGCTACACCGTAGGGATACTGGTCATGGTCGACATACCAAGGATGTCTGAAAAGTGTTGGGAAAGGGCCTTTTGGGTAGAAACGCCAGTATAGGTCATCGTCTTTTGGAGGCGCCCACTCAGTGATGGCATCGTGTTTGTGAAGACTTGTGTCGAGCTTGAAGAACATTACGCCTGCTTGGTGTAGTAGGATGGCAACAAGCTCTACCAGGCGAGTCTTAAATGCTCGAGAGCCGGGCAGCGAAGTTTGATAGGAGTGTAGAAGTTCTGCGTCCATTTCCAAGGTTTCGGGCTGGAATGAGTCGCGAAACTGGCGTACCGTGTCCAGGACAAAGTTGGCGATGTTTTTCGCGCAAGGGATGGCCATCTGGAAGCTCACCATCTGAGCAGTCATCGCCGACCTCAGCCGTCGGAAGTCCATCGAGGATCTGTGCGAATGTAGTCTCAGCGATATCAGTTACGAGAACACGTGAAATGGCTCGGATTAGGAGATGGCGGTGGTGATCGTTGAGGGCATGAACTGGAAGCTTCGCTGGGTCCATTTGGGGCCAGAAATCGTGTCAGAGAAGGTCGCTTCTGCTATGGAAGCGAAGGCCGGATTATAGAGAGCAGTCCCATGTTGGATGAGAAGTTCTGGAATCGGCCAGCTGTGCCAGCTGTGCCAGCAAAAGTCCTGCATCATGCACAGTGTCCACAAAATGAACAGCACTAAAAAGCACCAGGCGCCAATATTAAACGCAACCACTTCTGGACTAGGCATCTTGGGTATTCGATCAAGTATATCATGATACCTTCTAAAATCTACCAGTATGTACGCCACATAAGTACCTCCTAGGATGATTCCTCCTCGCTTACCGGGCCATAAAGATCCTCCTCAAAAAAGTCTTTCGCCATGTTCAGATCGTCCCCCCATTTCTGCCAGTCGTATTTGCTGGGATCGGCCCCAATTTCGCCGTCACCGCCGTACCATCCCGCACAGCGCTTCAAAACCGGTGGAATCTCGACCGGCGAGTCGAGAGGTGTGTTTTCCAGCCAAGAGGAGATGACATCTGATAGCTCTCGAGCATCCTCCACTCTCAACCAGTTAAGTGTGTTGGGGTTTATGTCGAGGCAGGGATGGTACATCGTCCATACTCGGCTGAAGTCCACCAGCTTCCCATCCATGTAGTTGCGAACGTGCAGGTCCCTGATGAGAATTCCAATTCTGTGAAGCGCTTCCACGTCGCTCCACAAGTGTGATACTTGCGACTGGGTGAGGTGCTTGACCCCTGGGGGACCAAAATCTTTGACGATGGCGTAGATCGGATGACTCCTGTGTTGCTCAGACTGACACCAAAATTTTTTGCCGTTCCAAGTAACTGTCAGGCTCATCCAGCTGTTCGTCATCTACTCCCATGGCCTCCGTGACCTCGATTTCCTGTTCGCGTGTCAGTAGGAGATATCCGTGGCTCTTCACTGCAAGATCCTCCCGGCCTTCTTGCTTCGACCTGCCGTACGCCCGGCATTCGCAGCTGAATGGCGTTAAGTAATCCACATAAAACTCGGGCTTTGCAAGGCTAGCAGCATATTTGCCACTGGTTTCGGACAGTGTCTCCCACGTACGGAACAGGAACTGCAGACAGTCAGTGTGAGGCTCACCAGGACGTTGAATGGTCGATTTGCACGCACCATCTTGAGAGCATATGGGCCATGACCGTCAATGCTGACCTTCCAGACTTTGTAGTCCCGGTCGTTCCCTGCACCAACGAACTCGATGAACTCTATGTTGGCTTGGCCCGTAGGTGTGAAAGGTTGCAGCTTTGGACCCGGCACACGGGCAAGAGGCACTGCGGGTGCCATTGGAGGCAGCGCCAAGTGAAATGGAGACGACATTTTTGGCTGCTATGTTGTGCTGGTGCAAGACTAGGTAGATGTAAAAGAAATCTGAACTGTACAAAGCAGAACTATGAGAGCTGGGCCGTCATCTAAACGATTGCTGTAAAGACCACGAGGGAAGAGGCACGTGAATCCCCCCTCGCCCCCAAGGGCAACTGCACTGTGCCGCATCATGCTGGATGGCTGCAAATGCCCCGCTCTTTTGAGACACAGATGGGTGAGGTGTGCTGAGCATCTACCTATCGATCTATCCCTTGGACTACACGGGGGAAAGACAACTGACAGCGAACCTCGCGATCTGTGCCTTAGGATGCATGGATAGGTATGAATGATACTCATCGGTGTGTGGAGGGGCCGGCACACTCGCCTTTGGACTGCATGGCCAAGCTTACATGGTGGCAAAGAACGCAGGATGAGAATAGGAACGTCATTTCCCAGCGGTTGATTCCGGCCAGGGACTTTTGAAGCAGCTGTTCAAAGCTTTCCTGGGAATGTTTGAGACCTACTCAAGGAGAACGATGGCCGCAGTTGCACCAAAGATTTCACGGCAGCGATGCCCGCAGTCCCCACAACCCTCAGGGTATTCAAGCAGTGTCACGTTGGAAATCAGGACCATTTCCACTCAAGCAAGCCTCGAAAGGGGTTTATTATGTGTCGTTTGACGGTGGAAAAAACTTCGAGGCAGTTAGTCAGAATGCCCAAAGACAATGGGGGGTGAAGAGGAAGTCTGCCACCTCTGTTTTCACAATGAAATAATGCCCTAGGTAGGGAAGCAAACACAGAAACAGAAGCTTTGAATCTGGCGTATAAAGTAGGTTAAGTTGGGTGGTATGGATCTCTACATATGTACTATTTCCAGCTCAAAAATGTGTGTATTCTTCAGTCGTTATGCCATTTCCCAGTGACTTGTCTGGCCGTGTTGATGTAAGGTACACAACCCCCCTGAACCTTTGGGCTTCTCGATCCCGAAAGATTGTTTAAACTCAAAAGTCCACCGCATTCCTGAGGAGGAAACAAGCTCTTCCAACCTCAAACGAAACCGAAATCGTGTCCGTATTCTACAATCTTCCGGGCCCATATATCGTGCCAAGTACAAATGTCAAGACTTGAAAGCCCTATTAAGGTCCGACATTGTAGATCTCATGCAGCCATCGCCAAGCTCCGATGTGCTACTGTCGCACCCGCCGCGGACCGTGTGATACCGAATAACTGGTATCTCCTGGGAGTGTCACCAGTTTCGAGAGGTAGGGCTGACATGCACGTTCCGCATGTGTCTATCAAGGTGCTGCGGAATGGCAAGCCACGTGGAGGTAGGTAGCCCACTTCAAGTGATGTAAAACTTGGACCATGAGGAATTCCACCCCTACGTCAGCTATGGCAATCAAAGCCTGAATACTTATTGGCAAACGTTGCGAAATTTACCCGATAAGCAAGCCCAACATGTGGTTCCGCCAAGTCCATATGTTAGAGACCTACAGTGCTTGTCTAAGCCAAAGAACACCATGTCATATATCCGGGCGATTTTCCTGGCTTACAGAAGAAGCAACATCGAACAGGGTGAGCCAAGTCCAGAACTCCACATGAAATATAGCTCAGGCCTCACATATACCCCCATGCATAGCCTCATAGCTGCCCTCACCACCCAAAAGGGCAACAGAGCCCAATGATAGTGTCACGAATACCTGTCTTGCTCAACCTCGGCCCGATCCGACGCTCGATCTCTTGAATGCACTGTGCGTTGTTAATATGGACATCAGCCCGCCGAGCAGCTTCGAGAGTCCCAGAGAAGCAGGATGAACTGACGGCGCGTGGGCCCAGCCAAACTATTGATTCTTGTCGATCAAGGCTACCTTCATATTCTGGAAGGTCTCAGCGGACGGTGTGATGCATACCAGCCCCAACTTGGCATGTGTGATGGCTGCTGTCACCTGAAGTGGCCGGTTCAGCTCGCTGATATCAGCCAACAGCCCGGATCACCCCGTACGTCTAATGCAGGAACATGCAGATGGCGCACCACCATAAGCTCAGTTTGCTTGCAGAATCGGATACCAAAACGCCATCTCGTGTGGCGCAAAGGAGGCTCTTTACGCCTAACCAGATCTCGTCTTTTGTTATCTTTGACCTGCGATATGGGCCAACGTGCCAGGAGAGAAGCAATCCAGAAAAGAGCCACTTAGGACGATGGCTTGTGGAGAGACGGGACGGATAAAAACACATGTGATCAATGATGATAGGTTGCGATGTTATTGCCACGAATGAGGTGACTGGCCCGCCCAGACTTGGCTCCGAAATGCATTACTCCAGGACAAGCAGGTCCAGGGGTGTTGATTGCGGCCTTCCATAACAGCGGGCGGGGTGAAGGCGTTCCGTGCCGAGGAAATAGAACAAGTGGGCTGGGTGGGAGGCAACATTCGGGATCGGGAGAAAGTCACCAGTCGATAGGTAATGTTGATATCCGAGACTTGTTGGGCCATCTGATAGGCCAATGCCGAAGCCAACAAGATCAACCCCACAATCCCCAGCTTCAAGCCAAGGCAAAGCCAAGGCGCGCCGTTGGGACCTGCCATTCACGACTTAGCGGTGGTGCACGACATTATGTGGGACGATTGCTGAACAAGGCAGTTGGTCGGCCCAGTGTTACTCCAGCTGCCGCAACGGGACACCAGCCGAGAGAGACCTAGCTTCCAGAACTAAGAGATCGGCACCACATCGCCAACCACTATCACAGCTCACCATCCAAGCCAACCAAGCACACAATCAACCCGGTGCTACCTCGACCGAACTACGACTCGACGAGCAACCCGTCCGAACTCAAAATGGCCAGCTACCCCCCGCACTCTGTCCAGTCTCTCCCCCTTCTTCATCCCATCGCCAACCCTTCCCTCTTCGACAAGTCCCCACCCGTTGGTTCAAGATGAAGACTGCCACCGTCTCCCTTTTCGCGCTCGCCTTCTCCGCCACCGTCAGCGCTGGCGACGGCAAGGGCAAGGGCAAGGACAAGACCCCCAAGAAGCCTCTGGTCAGCTCGGCCAAGCTCCAGTCCTATGTCAACAAGCGTGACCTTCTCAACGACGCCAACAAGCTCCAGTCATTTGCCAAGGCTCACGGTGGTAACCGCGCTTTCGGTAGCGGCGGTCACAACGCCACTGTTGACTACATCTACAACACCCTCAAGCGCCTCAACTACTACGATGTCGTGAAGCAGCCCTTCACCGAGATCTTCTCCGAGGGTACCGCCACCCTCACTGTTGGCGGTGCCGATATCCCCGCCGCCATCATGACCTACACCCCCGGCGGTGAGGTTACCGCCAACCTCGTTGCCGTTCCCAACCTTGGCTGCACTCCCACCGACTACCCCGCCGAGGTTGCCGGCAAGATCGCCTTTGTGTCCCGTGGCACTTGCTCCTTCGCTGAGAAGTCGCTGAGCGCCAAGGCTGCCGGTGCCGCTGGCATCGTCATCTACAACAACGTTGCTGGCTCTCTTGCTGGCACCCTCGGCTCCCCCTTCCAGGACTACGCCCCTGTTGTGGGTATCAGCCAGGAGGACGCCGCCCCCATCCTCGAGGCTCTCTCTGCTGGCCCCGTCGAGGCTTCCCTCGACGTCGATGCCACCGTTGAGCAGCGTGTCAACTACAACGTCATCGCCGAGACCAAGGGTGGTGATCACGACAACGTCCTTGTCGTTGGTGGTCACTCCGATTCCGTCTCTGCCGGCCCCGGTATTAACGATGACGGTTCCGGTACCATTGGTATTCTGAACGTTGCCAAGTACCTCAGCAACTTCAGCGTCAAGAACGCCGTCCGCTTTGCCTTCTTCGGCGCTGAGGAATTCGGTCTCCTCGGCTCCTACTTCTACGTCAAGTCGATCAACAGCTCTGAGACCGAGTTAGCCAAGATCCGTGCCTACCTCAACTTCGACATGATCGCCTCCCCCAACTACATCCTCGGCATCTACGATGGTGATGGATCCGCCTACAACCTCACCGGCCCCCCCGGATCCGACGTCATCGAGAAGGACTTTGAGGACTTCTACAAGTCCAAGCGCTCCCCCTCGGTCCCCACCGAGTTCTCGGGCCGCTCCGACTACGCCGGCTTCATCCAGAACGGCATCCCCTCCGGCGGTCTCTTCACCGGTGCTGAGGTCCCCAAGACCGAGGCCGAGCAGAAGCTCTTCGGCGGTGAGGCTGGTGTCGCGTACGACATCAACTATCACAAGGTCGGCGACACTGTTGACAACCTCAACTGGAAGGCCTTCCTCATCAACACCCAGGCCATTGCCCATTCGGTCGCCAAGTATGCCACCAGCTGGAAGGGCTTCCCCGCCGTCAACCTGAACGAGAGACGGTGGGCTGGCGACCGCGCCAAGGCCATGAAGCGCTCCCTCGGCGTCCACGGCCACGGTGTGCACACCCACTCTGGGCCTTGCGGCGGCGGTGATGAGATCTGAGCTCTTGAGCCTGGGTAGGGGATGAAGTCATGTACATGATACGATTATGAAGATAATGTATATATACCTATTTTGAATAAGATTTTATGAAGCAATACTTTTGTGCCACTTCCTCTCATCGGGCCGTGTGACGTTTTCAAGGTGTGCTGGAGTGCTGAATGATGCAGGTTGGTTTGCGTCCAGCTCACATGATGCAGGCAGTTTGGGGATGGGATATTAACCACACTCCCTCTCCCCCGGATGGATAAATTGTGCCTGGCCACCCTCCAACTCAGCTGCAAGTGCTATTTGTGAAGAATACAAGATCAGAAATTGAACGAAATGCACGCAAGCGGCAAGAGCCCCGCTCCAACTGAATGTCAGAGCTGAAATGTGGTAGCGAGAGAAGGTAATATAGAGCCGGTATAGAGGTACCGGAGCCGGGGAAACTCGGATCCGGGTGGTGGTACTCAGCCTACTCACAGTTGCGCCATCCAAAAACTCGGAGGTGTTTTCGTTCACTGATACCGATCGAGGAGATCAAATCATTATGGGTGATGACACAGAATGGCAGCCGAGTCCACAAAGCATTAAAAGACATTATAGGTATTCAGAGCGGCTACCAGCTGCGATCTATCCTAATACTGACATCTAATTACCATGGAAGACCTATCGACCACCTATTGACCAGCCTAGCAAAGCTCTACCGATACCCAAACAAGAGAAAGCCAATCCTAAAACTGCGCCGTATCCAACGCCCCTTGTGTACAAGAGAAATGACCGACGAAACACCGGCCGTCTAAAACAACTCGCATTCCGGCTCCTTGACAGGGCACTTGAAGGCCTCCCTAAAAGCGCGAGAGTTGGCCGCGCCGCCCATGAGCCTGTGCACGTCGGGGGCATGCACCCCACCTTTCAGCAACCTGTCTACCCTTTCCTGTGGGCTTCTGGAATCGCACCAAGCGTTTCCGAACATGATAAAGAAGAGTTGCTCGTGGGTGAAATCACCCAGCCCAGGGAGTCCCTGGTCCCACACATCGGGCATGGACTTGCGCTCCTTGACCCAGGCGTCATAGGCCACCGCGAGGCCGCCGGCATCCGAGATGTTCTCGCCCACGGTCACGTTTCCGTTGCCGGGGTACTTCTTGCCGTCGGGGCCGACCAGCTCATACTTGCTGTACTGGTCCACGAAGCACCTTTCCCGTTCGGCGTATTCCGCGAGCGACTTCTCATCCCACCAGTTCGTCTCCAGGGCGTTCTCGTCCCTTTTCCGCCCGTTGCTGTCGAGGCTGTGGGTGATCTCGTGACCAATGATGGATCCCAAGGCTCCATACAACGCCCACTCAGGGAGGTCAACGTGAAAAAGGGGGGCCAGCGATATACCGGCAGGAATGAAGAAGCTGTTGGTGAAACTGCTGTAAGCGGCATTGGTCAGGTGCGTGTAGGACGGGAACCACCTAGACTGCGACGTCGGCTCCGACAGGAAACGTGAGTCAGTGACTACCTGGTACCGCATGCCCTCGATTGCGTTGTCGAAAAAGGAATCCGTGATGTTCAAACCGCTGTAGTAAGCGGCCAGGTCATCCGGGGATCTCGAGTCTGGGCTGTGCTCTGGGTAACCAATATTGATCTTCATGTTGTCCAACTTCTTGATGGTCCGCTTCCTTGTCTCCTCACCCATCCAAGATAGCTTGTCCACGTGCACCTTCATCTCCTCACGAATATTCACAGCCAGCTTTGTCGCGGTAGATCGCGTTGAATCCGAGTAGGCAGCCTTGACAAAGTAGTGACCCAGAAGCCACCTGAGGGCAGAATCGACATGATCGACGCATGTGGTGTATTCATTGGACCCTGCCTCTCCACCGAGCTCCAGATCTTTAAGTTCATGGGACTCGACCTTGGAGCCCAGTTCCATGATGATCTTCCAGAGAAGCCATGATTGCACAACAACTTTGCGCTGCTGTTTGATGACTTTCTCAATCCCGGGCCACATGTGAGGCGCTCTGACAACGACCGTCTCTGGGGTGTGCCCCTCCGGAACCAGTGCTTGGACAAAAGCGTCAAGACCGAGCATTGGTGCCAAAGACGCCAGTTGCGACATGGACAAAACCGTCTGGAAAGAGTCAGAAACAACAACGGTAAGCATGCTTGCGAGTCACTTGCCTGTTTAAGTGCCACCTGGGGATCCTGTGTAGGGTCGGCTCTTGAATGTAGTCCTGCGACAGCGCTGGAATTGGCCGCTGCCGTGGGACTCCCGGACGCCAAAATAGCGATCTCAAAGGCTACAATGTCCTTGGCAAGTCTTGCCGCTGTCTTATCATCGAGATCGACTGGGAACACGGCACGGAAAGCTCCAGAAATTTTCTTTTCGAGTTTGGCCGTCTCCTTTGGATCAGCGTACTCGTTGGCCAGGCCTTTGAATGAGAGGTCGGGCCAGTAGAGCGTAAAGCGTTGCGTTTTCTACATCAACCAAGTTAGATAAGTACTGGTGTACAAATGATCAAGGCATCATACCGGGTCGGTGGGATCTGGGAAGCAGTTGCCGAGGAAGCTTTCCTTGTTATCAGGCGATCCATTCCAGGTGCGGATGTTGAGTTTGGCCAAAGCAGTGGCAACCGCCTCGAGGCCTGCCTTGTCGTCCTCTTCATCAAACAGGTCGTCGGCAAAGTCCATCTCAATCGGCCAGTACTCGTTGAATTTGACGAGGGTATCCAGCAGTGGTTTGACGCCAGCCTTTTTGATGGCGTCCGAGTCCATGCATGCAGCGTATGTTCGGTGGACCATGTCAAAGTTGTGTTCGTCGACATTGTCACGGCGGCTTAGCACGTAGGGCTGCACCTTTGTCGCTTGGTCGTAAGGTTTCGACAGGATTTCTCGCAAGAGTCTGTTCTTATGCGCGTTCTGGAGAAACACGCCGTTGACTTCCTTGTCCGAGTCGTGCAACTGGTTGAACCCGTGGCAGACCACTGCTTGATGTCAGTCGTACACACGTCGGTATTCAGGTTGGCTTATACTCACTCTTATCAAAGTCGGTGCAGGGATCCATGTCTTTCCAGTTGGGTGCCAGGTTTTCAAGAATGTGCGAAGCGGCCTGGATGCATGCCGGTGTTGTGCACACCTCGGCGCTCTGAAACTGACCCATGGTGGGCAAAGAGGCAAGACAGCCAGGAAAAAAAAGAAAAAAGGAGGAAAATGATGAGAGTGACAAGTCAAGAGTTCTCAAGGCGGTCGTGTATGGTGAGGTGGTGGAGATACAGATCCAAAGCAATCCCCAGCTGGAAGCGCCATGATGCCCGGTATATATGTATCTGTGTATGCCAGCACAAACACACACACTCCTATCCTTGCCCGTCCGATGAATCCTCCCCAGCGGGAACTTGAGTTGAGGCCAGCATCGGGCTCCCGTGGCTCAGCCTCTTGGAGATCGACGGGTGAGTTGATGCAAGGGTCTGACAAGCTCAGCCCAGTCCCACATGCTTAAACACAGGTCCGCCAATAGGTGCCCGACAGCGAGAAGCCAAGTCTCGAGACGAGGTTGCTTGTCAGCACTACCATGCAGGCAGTTGCTGATGTAGCGCTAGGAAATCCGCAGGCAACTGTTTTGGCAGGGGGCGGGCTTTGGGGACCTTGGCATCCCATCAGCAAAATTATCAAAAGGCTACGAATAATAATTCAGACTGTTTGATGATCCATGTGTTTTGGACTGAAGGAAAACGGCGATGCCTGCTCACCGATATCCACCCAGGACCAATCCCCAAAAAAAGACTGCTTCGCCATGATGGGCGGATAGCCGATTGTCGATAGCCGCGATGTGGGCGTCTTGAGCAGCGAGCGCGTTTGTGTCGCCTGTTTTGAGCTCAAGTTTGGAGCTACCTTGATGTGAGGTGAGCGGTCAAAGTTCACTCTTTCCATTGCATCATCCCAAGTCTGATGCAGCGACCCAAGGAAAGACCGCGGCATCGATCCTTCCGTCCCGCTCCGTGCCACAGCGACAGCCCTGCTGTTACTCCGTACCCATTATCTGCTATCCGTAAGAGTGTTTACATTCAACGAAGCCCACGCAATAGCTCTCAACTCAGCATGGTTTCTCTTATCAACAGCCACATTCAGTAATCCGTGCCCAGAGCTGTTGACTGCTTGATTTACACAGAGGCTGTTTTGTGCAAAATCCTATAGATGCACACCCGTCAGCGTGGGTGGTTTGATCACGCTCGAAACTCTCGTCAGTGAGATCAAAACTCCGAACCCGGCCATATGGCGAAACGCCAACCATGTCCAGCAGCTGATTCACTACACCCGCTTCGGAATAAACCCGCTCCGATAGAAGGACACCAATGGAAAGCTCCGAGGCCGCCACCTCCAGCCTCTCAGATCCTAAATCAGGCATCGAAGTAATGAGGATCATCTTTCAGGGTCCTCGGCGGATGCAACCGCGCCATGATATCAGTATCACGCTGGAGATCCAGTCAAAGGGCAAACCTGCCAAGGCTTCTTGTCCATCTAACTGCGAGTAGCACATGTATTCAACTTTTGACCCAAATCGTTCTTACATGGCAGCACATGTCGTTGAGCTCCAACAGCCTCAGCTCACCTCTACCCTCCGGCAATAATCCCTCCCCCGCTGCACCTGCCAGTCGCAAAGCCACACCTCCATCGCCATACCAATAAACCCGGCGATGCATATGCCCCCACTGTCGCTGACCGACGTGGCACCCAGACTGAACTCTCTGTCCTCTACAGGGACGTTGTCCATAATCTCGGCAAACGTATTCACATACACCGCCCCTCCCAACAGCCCCTCCCAAAAGATGACGACAAACACCAGGTAGACAGACGGGATAAAGTTGAGCAACGCATGCAGCGTAAGCAACACCAGATTTCCGACTTGAAGGAGCGACGGGAAGTAGAGGTGGTGTATCCTGAACCACGGCGTCGAAGAGCGGGAGATGAACACGCCTAGCTGATACAAGAAGCCGTAAAAGGGGTAGAAAGAGCGGTACTCGTTGAAGGGAGATTGCTCAAGCGGGAAAAGGAGGGTGGGTGCGACGCCTTGGTTGATGGTGTACTCTGCTACGTAGACAAGCAGCAGTGGAAGCATGTAAGGCCAGAAGAGTGACTTGGCGCGGCGGAGATTGGCCCAGAATGAGGCGGATTTGTCGCCGGGGTGGTTGTTGTGGTAGGCTGTGATGGATGACGGGCCAGGTTCAGAGAGAAGGGCTGCTGATGCAGCAGAGGCATCGATTTCGCGTTCACTTTCTGGCGAGTCATCTCTGTCGAGACCGGGGAGTGGTTCATATCCTGTTGTTCCAGTCTGCTGCTTTATCCTCTCTCTAGGAAGGATGACAAAAAAAGACAACAGCATGACCCCGGGCATCAGCGCGCTGACTAGCAAGCTGTTTTTGACAGACATACCCAGCCAGTCAGTCATCAGGACGTACAACCCTGCCCCGACCAAACCCGCCGCTCCCGTCCCGCTTCCCCAGGCCGCAAGGCTGTTGACGCCGTAATAGTGCGTCAACCCCAGGAAACTGAGTTCTCCTCCGCCGGAGCTGATACTGGCTATTATCACGCCGACCATTTTGACCCCGACAGACTGTGTGTTTGGAGTGAGTGCCACCAGTAGCATGCCCCCCGATGACAACGCCACAAACACCAATATGCGGATCGAGTACGGCACGAGGTGGATGAAATACGGCGCGACGAGTTTTGTCAGAAAGGAGGGCATCACGTCTGCCAGCAGGACGAGAGCTTTGGGGATGGACGGGCCGACGAGGTCTTGGGCTGCGGTCAGCAGGAGAACGTAGAGGATGTTGTTGATTAGGCCTGCATGCAGTTACACCGAGAAATTGTCAGACAAGAACACCGCAAGAGCAGGGACTTGTGGTCACAAACCAAACAACCAAAATGCCACCGAAACCGAGGTATTGGGATCGCGCATGAATGCAGACAGCCGGGCACGGTAAAGGCGCCATGAGGAGGACGAGGTGCCGGGAAGCGGCAGGGGGAGCAGCCCCGAAGAGGAGGGCGAGCGGGAATTCATGGCGGCGAGGAGCGCACGGCACTTCAGGTAACTATAACATTTCGTAGTGATACAAGGTCGCGATATTCAAAAGCCACCGGTTGTGCCTGTGTCGCTGTGCCGCGTCGCGGGTTTGTGATGGTGTAAAAGTGGTGGATCGATGCATGGGGAAGATGACGTTGTGTCGTGCGGAATTGCCTGCCGAGATCCTAAACATTCGCTCCCAGCTTAGAACCCTAACCCTGTATGGCCAGGTTTCACCTTCCTCGCTATCGTCACGGCGACTTGCATGGGATGGGATAGTTTTTGTTGGCAATCTAACAGACTACTTGTCCTTCTTGAACAAATCTTTCCAAAACTCCTTGAACCCATACCTCGGTTCGTTACGCTCCCACACCCGACTCTGTTCGCCCATTCCAAAGGTCCCCTTAAGCCCCCCTCTGTGCAGTGGCTTTCCGCTACCAAGAAAGTTATACTCGACCATTGACTTTGCCGGCGCTGTCGCCCTCGCCTTGATCTCCTCCGCCACCTGCGGCGCCACATCCGCGAAACAGCTGTTGAGTTCTCTTTCCAGCGAGAAATACGGCTTCTTGGCCAGCTCCGGCGCCATCAAGTTGTAGGACCTGGTAATAGTGTTTAGGTTCGTGATGGCGAGCTCCATGTATGACCTCTCGGCTGCTTCCCAAGCCGGATCTCTGAATGGCCGACCGACGGGCATGTTTTCTTCTCTTGATTCTTTTACTTCCTCAGTCACCGGTGTGGCATCCGAAGCAGCCTGCTGCCTCATCTTCACCATCACCGGGTCATCCGTCGAGTTCGTCGACACACTCATCTCTTCCACCTTTCTCTTTCTCTTGGGATTGTGCACCTCTTCTGCTCTTGCGTACTCCCTCGCCCGTCTCAACTTCTCCTCCAAACTGCCTCCCTTGGCCGATATCATGCGCGCCATGTGTCTTTTCCAATTAGTCCGTATGGTCAACCTGAAATTTGCAGCCGTCTTTAGCAACTCTTGTTGCTTTTCTATCCACGGCGGCACAAGGTCTTGTCGTTTGATCATCTTGTTCATTATGTATTCTGTCGTATCGATAAACGGATTATCCGCCCTCGTGTCTCTTTCGACTCCCTTGCCTCTCGGAATATGTTTGAACTGCCCTCTGGCAATGGCGTTTTCGATGCGCTCATTAGCCAAAGCCGCAAGCCCGGTGATGGTGTTGGGCATAGCTCGTGCCCCCGGAGTAAAGCGCTCCCTGAATTCCCGTTTCATAGCTTCTCTTTCTTCATCGCTCAACCCAAAATCCTTTTGTTTGTCCCCTGAGAGAGAGGTGTACAAGGAAGCCTTGTCCCTCGCCTCGGCTGCTCTTTGCCCAGCGCTGACATTTGATCTTGTTTTAAATCGCATGTCAACTGGCTCGGGGACAATTTTGTTTTTACCTCGAAGCCCGGGGGCCAATGGCTTGTGGGCGTCGTTGAGCATTCGTAACACAGCATCTTCGGTCGATTCGGTGCCTGTCCAGGGCTGCACTGCGGCGATGGATCTCGTACCAAGGCCGGCGGAATCGGGTATTTTCGAGTGGGCAAGAACCGAGGCGGCGGCTGAGTATTCTCCTTGGAATTTGGCATCGGCCAGTTTGTTCAGCAGTTTGGCTTTGAGTTCTTCGGAGAATCCGGCATCTTCGAGCACAGCGCGACGGCCGGCTCGCCCTCCCTCCAACAGAGCCTCTTCGGTTGCCTCTTGAAGGCGACGTGTCAGGGGGCCGAGTTCTTTTTCGTCATTGGATTTCGGAGAGGTATCTGAGGTAGGATTCGAGGGGCCGCTGGCAGCGGGTTTGGCAGATAGGGCGGGGCAGGATCGTGAGAGATTGCGGTGGGTAGAATAGACGGAAATTCTCGAAAGAGGAGCTCGTCGCATGGCGCGCAAACAGAGACCGCAAATGAAGGCTTCAGGGGGCATTAACTTGATGAGGAGGAGAAGGGAGCTGGAGAGACAAGGTGGGGGGCAGATGGAAAGTTGCGATCATGGCGATGATGCGCTGACTGAAAAGATAAGCACAGTAATCTTACACAGTGTGTAACTAATTATCACTGAGAGCATACGGGTACCTTGATGGCCAACGCGACGCGACTGCTGATTTCCTCCGGCATCACCATTCACCAACAGCTTCATCACGACCTTCTCAAAGTAGAGGTTGTTAACTGTCTCCATTATTTCTCTCTTTCTCATTTTTAGGGAGTCAAGCACTCTCATCTCACAGCCGTAAGATCCCGACGCGATGACATACCATATGCAGAATATCGCCGTCTCGTTGCCAGTCGCAACAAGTTTTAGCTCCGCTCCGCCTTGTTTCTCTCCTATTTTCATCGACCTCACCCTCTCTTTGGCTCTTATGAACTCCCGCGATGCTCTTTACATGCAGTCAAAAGTGGACCCTTCCGGTGCCGAAACCGGTCCCGACACAACCGGGCTAACGCTTTCCGGCCCCACCAGCCGACCGAGGTTTTTTGCCCCGTTCGGTCGTATCTCCGACGCTGCCGTCGCCGCGGATGACGAGGACGGGAGCTGTGTGAACCTGCTGTGTTTTCTCTCTTTTTCCTTTGAGTATCCCATATTTTCTTTTCCTAGCGTTCTTCCTTGTTCTTCTCGTCAAACATGGCCGCCCTCAAGTCCCTGGGCCACCGCGCTTTTCGCGAGTCTGGCCTGCAGTCAGTTTACACCACCGGCCTCGATGCTTACCTCATCATCCTCTCCCGGAGCTGCCGCATGTTCGCCTACGGTGCCAGCAGCTTGATCCTCGCTCTGTTCTTTGCCGAGCTTCAGTTTTCCGACTACCAGATTGGACTGTTTATGAGTTTGACGCTGCTGGGGGATGTCATCTTGTCACTGTGCTTGACGCTCGTGGCTGACCATGTTGGGAGGAGGAGGACATTGTTCTTGGGGTCGATGCTGATGATATGTTCCGGGGCTACGTTTGCTCTCTGCGAGAACTATTTTGTTCTTCTCGCCGCCGCCGTTGTTGGTGTTATCAGTGCCACGGGAGGTGATTTTGGACCGTTCAGGGCAATTGAAGAGTCGACCGTTTCCGAACTCACCAACCCCGACACAAGAGCCGACGTGCTGGTTTGGTATGTCACCACCGCCAGCCTGGGATCAGCAGTGGGGACTACGACATCAGGACGCATTATTGACTGGCTCAGTGCAAGAGAGGGATGGACGCTTCTAGATGCCTACCACGGGTGCTTCTGGCTGTACGCTATTATGGGACTGGCAAATATGGCCTGCAGTGCCATGCTGTCAGAAAGATGCGAGCTCAAAAAGAAGGCTCCAGAGGGTGGCAGTAGGGAAACAGCGCCACTGCTTCAGGAGACAACGGATGACGGTGTTGCCAAACCTAAGGAGAAGGCAAGCTGGGTCTCCCAGATATCTAGGGAAACATTGGCCATTGTGGGCGTCTTGTGGTTCTTGCTGATGGTGGACTCGCTCGCCGACGGCATGGTCAGCATGTCCCTGACGACCTATTACATGGACAAGAAGTTTCACCTGCCCAAGTCGACGCTCGGCGATATGCTGTCGACCTCTTACATTCTGTCGTCCGTCACCAACATTTTTGCCGGCCCGCTGGCGCGGTATATCGGCCTCGTCAACACGATGGTTTTTACGCATATCCCGTCCTCCGCCGCTGTCTTGCTGTTCCCGCTGCCAAAGACCGTTTCCCTGACCTTTGCTCTCCTGCTTCTCAGAGTCGGCCTGAACAACATGGATCAGGCACCTCGGGCAGCGCTCATCGCGGCCGTGGTGAAACCAGAAGAAAGAACTGCCGTCATGGGCATAACGGGCATGCTGCGGACCCTGGCTTCCACCACAGGTCCAAGCATCACGGGCGTCCTCGCCGGCAACAACCGATTCTGGGTCGCCTATGTTGTCGCTGGTGCGTTGCGTTTGGCGTATGATCTTGGCTTGTTTGCCCTGTTTATCAATATCAAGCTTCACAAACATGAGCCATCCGGTGAGCCCACAGGGGAGGAGAGGAGAGAAGCTGACGAAGAGGAACCCTTGGCGCGGAATTCGGCCGAATGAGCACATCAGGAACATAGATTGGTGCGTAGGGTGGGGTGGATAGAAAAAAGCAGTCATGATTAGTCTTAAAAGGAGCTTCGTATTTTTTTATCAAGTACGTTCGAAAGGTTCATGTCACCCAAGCCTCTTGACATGTTGCAACCAACTGTGCCGGCATGTCTCTGTGCAATATGTAGGGTCTTCTTTTACCTCATGGCATTGTAGCTGATTCGCTCCCCTTGCCAGCCATTTCTCACCTCAATATAACCCCGCGGCATATTCGTGCATCCTTGACCGCCTCAGTTGGGATGCAATTTGGGATCTATGGCGTGGCTTGTGTTACACGGGGCGGGCAGCCTTCTCAGTGGTCCACCACCACAGTGATCTATGCTGCCTATGCCCCTTTGAGGGCTTCGATGCTGACATTCCTGAGTATGTATACAAATATTCTTTCGGTATTTTCGGCAGGTATTGTCCGACCTGCCGAGCCAGGAATTTGACATGGGATTTGGGGAGCATAAAACCAAGCAGGTCATGTTCTTCCTCCTCTTCGACCTCGACTGCAAGTAATCAAGTCATGGCTCGAGCTGCATTATTGTTGGGGTTGACTGTCCTAGGCCACTGTTTGGCATCTCCTCATTCCTACTCGTTGCTTCATAACCGGGACGATGCTCACGATGTTTACGACTACGTGGTGGTCGGTGGGGGGACAGCCGGTTTGACTGTTGCGGATCGACTGAGCGAGAGTGGAAAGTGTAAGTCTTGGGTCAGAGATGGAGGGAGTCCGCCATTGACATGAATACAGACACTGTCCTGGCCATCGAATATGGGATCATTGGTGCGTCTTCCTAGAGACCCTGCATTGCACTGGCTGACGAGTGAGCCTGGCAGAACCCGATGGGCGCCGAAACCGAACGAACATGTACAACATCACCTCTGTTCCTCAGGTGAACTTGAACAACCGTACCTTTCCGGTCGATGTCGGGTGCATTGTGGGCGGCAGCTCAGCTGTCAATGCTCAGGGGTTTCAGCGAGGGACCAAGCGTGACTACAACAACTGGTCTGCACCTCTTGTTGAACACAATCCGCACTCATTTGGCCTGGTCTAACAATACCAGGGCTGAGCTTTCCGGTGTCAACGACAGTAGCTGGAATTGGGATGATCTTCAGCCTTACTTCAGGAAGGTATACTCACAAATCAGCGAGCCGTAGATTATAGTCTCTAACAGTCTAGGCCATCCAACTTGGTAGCGGGCCTCATCCAGACATAGCCAGGGTCTACAACATGACATACAACGCAGGGAGTTATGGAACCAACACGAGCAAGCACAGCATCTTTGCCACATTTTCTAGGGGCCATACGCCTGCTATCAGTGAGTAACCTCTCTTGTCCAAATGCTGGATGAAGATCACGAGTTGACAGGTCCCAGTTCCGATCTATCAAGCCCTGCGTGGATATCCTGGTGTGGAAATCCCCATCGACCATTCGGTTGGCACCCTCGGACTAGCCTGGACACCAAGATCAATGGAACCGATCTCTTTCAACCGGTCATATTCTCGAAGTGGACACTATGACGGCCTTAACAGGGACAATTACCACCTGCTCACCGCTACCAGGGTCGAAAAGGTTGTGTTCAAGGGCAAGACAGCAGAAGGTGTGGAGATCTCCCCTCGCTGGGCTGAAGCACACGAGGGCAAAGGCAAGGGGAAGGGCAAAATTAATCGGAAAGGGAGTGGTAAGAGGGTTATCAGAGCTCGGAAAGAGATCGTCCTCTCCGCTGGAGCCATCCACACCCCCCAGATCCTCCAGTTGAGTGGCATTGGCCCTGCTTCTCTTCTCAAGCAAGCGAAGATTCCCGTCATAGTCGACCTTCCCGGTGTTGGCGCTAATTTGCAAGACCACGCTTACCAGCCGGCAGTTCAGTTCAACTGTATGTTCCGTCTTTCATCCCCTCCGATGAAGCTAACAATCCCAGGGACAACCCCCCCACCCTACCCAGAAGTAAACACCACCCTCCCCCCCATCGAAGCCTTCCTCTTCGGCCCCGGCCTCAACCTCATGCTCGGCCTCCCAGGCATCTCCCCTACCCGGTACCAATCCCTTGCCGCTTCCTACCTCTCCCAGTCCCCCTCCGAGTTCCTCCCGAAACACATCCACCCCACCATCATCGCCGGCTACGCCCAACAACAACGTCTCTACGCCGCAGGCATGTTAGACAAAAACTTTGCCTTCTCCGCCACCGGCGTCGGCGCCCTACCCGTTGCTGCTCCTCAGCTCATGCACGGCCTATCTCGCGGCACCGTCACTCTCAACCTCTCCTCTCCGCTGTCAGAACCGATAGTTGACTACCGTTTTGCTTCCAACCCGATTGATCTTGACATTGTGGCTGAAAACATAAAGTTCTATCGAAGGTTTTACACCGGTCCGGATAGTACACTGAGGCAGTACGTTGATTTGACTTTGGGGGAAAGCCAGCCTGGTAAGGGGTACCAGTCTGATGAGGGGCTGAAGGGGTGGTTGAGAGAGAACTTGGTGCCGAGTGTGTATCACCCAAGTGGGACAGCCGCGAAAATGGCGAGGGAGTGGGGGGGTGTGGTGAATGAAGGGTTGGAGGTATATGGAGTGAAGGGGTTGAGTGTGGTGGATACGAGTATTTTTCCTACTATTCCAGGGGCGGCGACGAGTATGACTGTTTATGCTGTTGCTGAGAAGGTATGTGTCTTATTGCTGCTGTCGCGACGGTGTGCTGACGAGTTGGTAGGCTGCCGATCTGATCAAGGCGAGGGCTGTAGTTGTTGTAGGCTTTTGAAGATAACGTTAAGGCAGTTGAGAGGCTTGAAAAGGCATTTGAGAGTTTTGAGAGCAACGGGCGAGATGTGTCAACAAATCACTTGATAACTTTTCTCAAGCTCTACTTTTCCGTTCGCAGCATGGCAAGGTTATACCTGCCGTTGTACGTATATCGATGGAAAATTCCACGCATGTGATGACTCGCAAACGAGTAGGGCGTTTCACTGGCGTCGTCAGAAGCATTGGGGTCGGCACCACGACAGAGCAAAAGTCCAACGATCCTCTCGTATCCGCCTATGGCTGCATGTGTCAAAGCGGTCCTCCCCCTCATATCCCTCCTGTCCACTCTTGCGCCTCTTGCCAGTAGAGCTTCAACCATAGCTATGTCCCCCAATTTGCAGGCCAGTAATAACTGCGTCTGCTTGGTCTCGTCCTTGAGTTCGAGCCTGGCCCCGTACTTGTCCATAAGAGCTGTGGCGAGAGCCAGGTGACCTCGTTCAACTGCAAGTAATAACGCTGTTTGGCCCTTCCATTGCTTGGCATCGACATCGGCGCCACCTTGAAGAAGTAGCACCACGACTTGATCAAGTCCACGACGAATTGCTGTCTGTAGAGGCAAAAGCCCCCTTGTCGGAATGCTCATGTTTACTCCCTTGCCTAGCAACATTTCCGTGATAGGAGCACGCTCAAAGTACAGAGCCTGAAGTAGGCCACCCGCTAACATGTCACCCTATTTAACAGAGTCAAGCTCGAGGGTAGATAGCGCTTTAACTACTGTTCGTACCATAGGAAGACGGCAGTATTTCGCAGCCAGGAGAAGCAACAGTCTCATGGTTTGCGAGCTATGATCGGCCAAGGGGAAAAGTAGTGACACGAGCGCCGTTTCTCCAGACAGTAGAGCTAGAAATAAAGTCTTATATCCAGTATCATCATGGTATCGGAGGTCGGCCCCTGTTTCCAATAATAGCGATACCAAAGACACTTGGCCAGCTGCGGCGGCGTAGTTGATCGGCCAGTCTCTGTTCACGTTGATCCCATCTGTCGTTTCTATCATGTGTTTAGCGAGGCCGTAGTGTTCTTCGCGGATTGCCCAGGAGAGCGGATGGATTTTTGGACTGACTGGGCCATATTTCAGCCAAGCCATTAGATGTTCGTTTTTCTCATCCAGCTGTAACAGTGCCCTCACCACCCCACAATCGCCTCTCTCTAAAGCAGCGAAAAAGGCGCTTTTATAACCAATTCCATCATCGACCACCTTAAGATCGCTATTGGACCGAAATGCCGTGGTTATCAAGGTTGGAAATCCCCACACTGCGAGAAAGTATGGAATATTGCTCGTAGGACAATCTCTCGCCGCCCTCCATTGCTTGAAAACGGGAGAAAATAAGCACTTCTCTGAGAAATCCCGCAGAAACAAGGCTTGGGGAACTCCACCGGCAGCTACATTTTCAGCATGATGGAGGGCGTGGGTCATTGCATAGTCCATTAAAGCCCATCGGTCCTTCTCAGGCGTCTTCGTGGTGTTTCCAAATAGTTTGGTGATATGCTCGAGATAACTATGGCAGCAGCTTTGTAGTTCGAGATGACCTTTCTGCCGCAGCGCTGTTGTAGTCAAACCTGGAAATATTTCCGCAAGACCATGCTTCAAGAAATACTCGCGGACGGATTCGTGTATAAATTGAACCCTGAATTTGTTTCCATCATCGACCGTTTTGTTCGACTCGGCGAGTCCTTTAGACGAACTAAGGAGGAACCGCTTCATGTCTTCAACAGTGACGAGTTTCGGGTCCCATTCTGACAGCTCCCCGGGACTCAACCCACAAATAGCCGTGTAGTAATAACCAGGCAGCGTCAGCTGTCGCCGGCTAAACCCAATCCATTGAACACGTAGTCGGAGGCATCTCGCCCCGTCGTCTCCGTTGTCTCCGTTGCCTTGGTGAACGATTTCCCGGAACAGCTCACTCAACTTGGGAGGCAGCACCCACAGTTGCTTTCCAGCTCAAACATGCGGCCTCCGTTATACTTCGCTTTGAAGGAGGTTAACCGCCAAGACCACTCATATGAAAACACCGGAGGCCTTTCTTTGCACTTCCCGCTTGATCCGTGTTGCCCCCTCGATGAGGCCAATCCTGAGCTTGTTTTCTATGTAGGCAGATATATCCTGCTCATGTCCGTGCTGGAGCTCGAGAACAAGCTCCTGCCGGTGTGCGATGTCAATATGCGGATCGTGGCGACTTGAGAAACAGATGCGCAACTGCTTCTGACTTGAAATTGCCGCAGTTCCAAGCTCTTCAAAGTGTTCCACCGTTTCCTGAACTTCTTCGGAAACACATTCGTCTAATACATCCACGAAATCGTCAATTCCTGTTCAACGGCAAGCCTGTCGATGGCAACGCGAAGCAAATCCTTGAGGCAGTCAATCCCCTATGTGGGAGATGGATTGTTTGAGAATATTTGCTCGTATGTCTGCGCCAGTTGCAACCTGACATGTGGCTTGAGGGCTGAATCATGAAATATTGGTCGTAGTTGTGGCAACGAGTCGGATCCCAGGAGCTGGTGAAGCAGCGAACGATACATCCCTTTCGGGGAGCGTTCCATCGGACCTCCTCTGGCGTTGAAGAAAAATGCCATGACAGTTTCATCGCTGCTGGCGCGTAGAACTTGCTCACTGTAAACGAACTTCATAATGGTGGACTTTCCTGCACTGTGATTGCCCTTGATCCATAAGAAGCCGTGGTCCTGTTGTTTTCTAGACTGATTGAGCCAGCCTTGGTAGTCGGATGATCTAATAACCAACGGCACATTTCTGAGTGGTTGGCCCCGATGGCTATAAAACAGGAGTCGAGTTCTTTGAATGTGAGTGATTTCCATATAGTCTCTTCTCTTGCTAAAGAATGGTCAGAAATATCTCATATAAGAGCGGTCTGTAGAGTTGATTGGGTAAACACGATTAGAGAGGAACCTACCGACGATGTCGAGTTCAGGCATCTCAGAAATTGAGAGAAGCTCGCTTGTATATCTGCTTTTCCAGGAACACCACCAGCGATGCCGACGATAAAGCCGAGTTGCATTATACGGAATGTTCGACGCATGTTGTTCACCACAATTGCTGCGTTGTTCGTTCCATAATGACCGGACGATAGGCGTGCAATGACGATGTGATGACGGTCAATGGTCCCCAGAATGTACGAGTTAGAATCAATCGCCTTGGGCGACATCTGCGTCAAAACAACCGTGGACTTCATCGAGCATGGCCTTCGCCGCTGCCATTTCAACTGGAAGCGCACAAATCCAGCCCACCGTATATTTGTCGGCCCCAGGATCCCGCATGTTACACCGAAAAGCGTCAGCTCCTGTTGGCGAGGGTCGGTCACCAAGCGATTCATTCATGCTGATATTCACGCTAGCTATGATGCGTACTTGCAAGACATCCTCGAAACGAGACTGCACGGAGCGCGCTTATCAGGGTTGGGCAGCGAAGGGGTCTGGGTGTTGACCCATTCATATAAGGTACACAGTTTCCGCTGTGCCTGAAACTCCCTGGCCACGGGACTATGAATTCTTGACCTGTTAATGTAGCCAATGGTAGTGGGCTGTGAGTTTTATTCCCTATTAAGGTACCTAGCAAACACTTGATCCTTACCTATCAAGTGCCATCCTCCAAACCCTGTTTAACAAGCCTCTCAACCCGCCTGACACTCTCCTCCGTCGTCGTCTGCCCAGCCATCAGGTACAACACATTGCCCAAAACACGACTATGCACACTGCCATCATCCTCAGAGGCCTTCAGCAAAGCAGCCTGAAGCCCCTTTGCAGCAGTGCTCTTGTAGCCTACACCTACGACACCGCCCGCCGAGCCCATGTGAATCGCCAGGACCGTTCCGAGCGCCCACACACCTTCAACCCCTTTCTGCCATGAAAGCCATTCAACCAACTCATGACTCCACACCGACCAAACCCTGGAATCAGCAATCGCAGCAACCTGCTCAGAGCTGGCATGCTGGGTTTGATCGTCGCTTTTCTGCTGACACGAAATAGCCCAACCCCACTCCCCACTCTTTTCCATCTTCATCATTGTCTTCAGACTTTCCAAAGCTACCTGGCAGCCAACAGCGTGAGCCGTATAGCTGTGTCCGTGCAAGAGGGCATCACTCTTATCGTCACTCAAAAACGACCGGAAGACGCTCTCAGATGCCAAGGTGACACTGAGCGGCAGCAGACCACCAGTCAGCAGCTTTGCGTGGACGGAAATGTCAGGATCGACGCCGAGAAACGAGGCAGCACTGAAGCGGCCGAGACGATAAATTCCTGTAAAGACCTCGTCAAACACAACCGGAAGGCCGCTCCAATCCAGCTCGTCGTTTGGTTGATGCTTTCTACCGAATAGCTCTGGTGATTGTCGGACGACCTTAACCAGCGTCCGCTGAAAAAGGGGATCCCTGTGGCAGACAGCTGTTAGTATCACAACTCACTTGATTCATCGTGGAACTTACACCAAATGCATCCCACCCGCCCCCAACACAACCGGCTCCAGAATCAAGGCCCCAAACTTCTTCCCCTCTTCACCCACCAGCTTCTCCAAAACTCCTCTGATCTCCTTCTCGTACCCCCTTCCCTCCCCCCTTTTCTCCCGTCCCTCCACATCAAAAACATCACCCAGCGTCTTAAACTCCCCTCCCCCCTCCACAACCCAAACCCCCTTCTCACACCTCACCCCCGGACTCCCCAACCAAGCTCCCTTTCCCTCATACCACTCCACTTTCTCATTAAACACCCCCGGCTCGCTACAGTCCATCGCCCCGATGGTATCCCCATGATAACTCCCCTTGAGCCCAATCACTCCAACCTTTTCCTCCCCTGCCCACCCATACCTCGCCCTCGCAGCCCCCAAAGCCATCTTCACCCCCACTTCTACCCCCGTACTCCCATTGTCAGAGTAGAAAACCCTCTTCAACCGCTTGTTTCCCATCCCGGTAATCAGCATCTCTGCCAACGCGAGAGCAGGCTCATGGACAGCCTCAGCAAACATCACATGCCCATACCGACCAGCCGCATAAGCAGCAGCAAGAGAAAGGGCTGGGTTCCCATGGCCAAGGCCCTGGGTCCACCACGAGGCTGAGCCGTCAAACATTGGCCGGAGCAGTGACTTGCTGGGTGAACCCGACTGGAAAGTGTCAAAGTGGGAGTCCTTGGCCGATTCGATGACGGTGATTTTATCCGGGGTGAGCTGCTGGTGCTGGGTGAAGGGGTACCAGATTGTTTTGGAGGCAGTCTCAGGCATGGACTGTAGGCGGGCAATGCGGGCTTGATGCAACGACGAAAGACGCGAGGGGATGGCGGAGAGAGAGGGGAGACTCAGAGCTGTAGTATAGTAGGTTTGCATGTTGCTAACGTCGTTAGAGGGCGAAAGACGTGGAGGAGGGAGGGGGACTGTCTGGACGGGGATGGAGTGTTTTTGTTGGAAATAAGGGGTAAGATAGCTGTGGTTTTGGTAGGTCTTGTCCTCGAACAAGAGGACCAACTCCACGTCGTAGCCACGAATTTTGAGGGATTCGAAGGCCGAAATGGTCGAGGAGATGCCGCCGAGCTTGGCGTCGCCGATGAGGATGGCAGGGAGGCGAAGTGGCCTGTAGAGGTCGGCTTGTGTGGTGCCGGAAGGGCCAGGGGAGTGCACGCCGCCGGCGGTTTCGACAAACAGCCATCCGGGGTGAGTGGAAGCGAGGCGGGAAGCAAAACCATGGATCTTGCAGAGGACCTCTTCGTCTGAAGGTGTATTCTGTTGGGAGACCTGGGCTGCGAGATGAGGGCTCACGGGAAGATCAAACTGGTACAGCGTCTGTGAGTCCAGTCCCGGTATAAACTTTGAAATGTGGCTAAGAGACATCAGACATTTATACAGGGGAGCCACAGGGTGTCTAGACATCTATGTTGTGAATCAGTAAGGCCCTCAGAGTCGGAACATCGAGATGGTTCTTACACCGACCGTCTGCTTCCTCTGCTGGCCCGGTAGAAACGGGCTTGAGGAATGCTGTTTTTTCATCCGGCTTGTAGCCGCTGGTCAACTTGCAGAGAATGGTGCTGAAGACAGTCTTGCCGACTTCTGTGTTGGCGCCCCATACTTGGTACACACGCAACGAGCGGTGCAGCAGAGCGCCCAACTGCGGCGACATGGTTTATTTCGACTGCGATGTTGTGAAGTTCAATGTTTGCATGCTGGAGATGAAGTTGCATTCGAACAAGCGAGCGAGCAACCCGCAAGACCCCCACGGAGAGCGCGTTGAATCGGCATAGCCTTTTACCGAGATCGGACGGCATTTTTTGGGTTGCAATTGTCATAACATAATTATACTTTTGTGCAAGATGGATCTGGAAACGGCGAAACAACCATCCAACTTCAACACCGTAAGAAATCCAGCCGCCATGTCACAAGTCAACCAACTCGATGCCTCCCTCAATAAACACCTGGATCGCCGCAAGGCCCGCGACATGTTCCGCAGCCTGACCCTCGTCCCTCCCGGCACAGCAGACTTCTCCTCAAACGCATACCTCTCCCTGTCTGCTCAGCCATCGGTCAAAAAAACGTTTTTGTCACGACTTCAAGACGCCGCACACGCCAACACCCCATCTCTCCTCGGCTCAGGAGGCTCCCGTCTCCTCGATGGAAACTCACCCAAGGCGGAAGCGCTCGAGAAAACCCTCGCCGCCTTTCACAGTGCCCCTGCTTCCCTACTCTTCAACTCAGCCATGGACGCCAACGTGGGACTCTTCAGCTGTGTGCCGCAGCCAGACGATGTTGTCCTGTACGACGAGCTGGTTCACGCTAGTATCCACGACGGGATGCGTCTCAGCCGAGCTGCCGAAAAGTTATCGTTTGCGCACAGCACAGTCTGGAGCACCGAGGAGACTGTGGAGCACGGAAAACGGAAGCCCGAGTCGCTGGAAACGGTCTTGGTGGGCCTTCTCAGCAGACCAGGTGGGCATCTCTTCAAGTCCGGGGAGAGAAACGTCTTTATTTCCGTTGAGGGTGTCTACAGCATGGATGGGGATGTTTGTCCCCTGAAAGACATCACAGACTGTGTGGAACGTTGGCTGCCAAAAGGAAACGGACTTGTTATCGTCGATGAGGCTCACTCGTTAGGGGTTTTTGGGGAAAGAGGCCAAGGTCTAGTGTCCGAGCTGGGCCTCGAGGATCGAGTGTGGGCGAGGGTGATGGGGTTTGGCAAAGCGATGGGCTGTTCGGGCGGGCTCATCTTGTGTTCTGACATCACCCGATCATACTTGATCAACTATGCTCGCACGCTCATCTACACGACTGCCATGGCGCTTCCGTCTCTGATCAGTATCGAGGTCGCTTACGAATTCATGATGAGCGGCGGAGCTGAGCCACTGGTTCATCGCCTCAAAAACCTCGTCAAGAACGCCCACTGCTTGTTGATGGAGATGTAGAGAGACTGAAACCTCCATCACATTTACTTCGCGTCAGCTTGGTTGAGCCAAAATCCTCCATTATCCCGGTATTTACCGATCATCCACGCAGCCTAGCAGGTCACTGTCAACAGAACGGATTCATGGTGCGCCCTATTGTCTCTCCAACGGTGCCCAAGGGAACAGAGAGGATACGTCTATGCCTTCACGCTGCCAACACTGCAGATGAGGCTGTCGGGATAGTGTCAGCAATAGAATCATGGGTAGTTTCTCAGATGAATGTTTCAAAGTCGAGACTCTAGCTAGCTCGCGCCACCGACTTTGCAAAGCTCTTCATCGGTTGCAAGCCCCAACGTTCAAACAATACAGCATCATCATCCCATCCGTTGCACTCTGTCGTGAGCATCTTTTCTCCCGTAAAGACAGCATTGGCTCCAGCCATGAAGCACATGGCTTGTTGCTCCTCCGTCATTGTCTTGCGGCCCGCGGCGATACGAATAATGGTAGCCGGCATGATGATTCTCGCCGCGGCAATGGTGCGCAGCATGCTGGTGAAGTCAATCGGCTTTCTGTCGCCCAATGGTGTGCCCTTGATGGGGACCAGCGCGTTCACTGGGAAACTTTCCGGGTGGCTCGGCAGCGTGGCAGCGGTATGCAGCAATCCAATCCTGTCCTTGTCGGTCTCGCCCAGACCCAGAATACCCCCCGAGCAGACGTTGATCCCAGCATCGCGAACATGGCCCAGGGTAGCAAGACGCTCGTCGTAGGTACGGGTCGAGATGATGCTAGGGTAGAACTCGCGGCTCGTGTCGAGGTTGTGGTTGTAGGCTGTGAGACCAGCCTCGCGGAGCTCCTTGGCCTGTTCGGCATCGATCATGCCCAGCGTCACGCACACCTCCATTCCCATGGCCCGCACTCCCGACACCATCTCTTTCACATTGCGCAGACTGTTGTTGCGGCCACGCATGTCGCGCCAGGCGGCTCCCATGCAGAAGCGTGTGCTGCCATTGGCCTTGGCTATACGGGCGGCTTCAAGGACTGTCTCGACGGTTTCGACACGCTTGGCTTGGAGGCCGGTGCCTTTTTGGTAGCGAGTCGACTGGGCGCAGTAGGAACAATCCTCGCTGCAGCCTCCTGTCTTGATGTTCATGAGGGTGCAGAGCTGGACTTCGGACGGGTTATGGAATCGACGGTGGACTTGGGCCTGCATTCATTTGATACCGGGAATTAGTGACAGCTTTGAGCACACGGATCGAGCCATGTATCTCACCGCTTGGAATGCAAGTTCCATCAGGGGCTGGTGGTAGATGGCCGCCGTCTCTTCCTTTGACCAGGTATATCTCGGCGCCGCGGCAGCAACGGCATCCCGCAGAACCTGTCTCGCCCACTGTTGATGCTCGACATTGTCGTGGATAGATGCTACATCCTGATCGTTTGCGTTTGCTGTTGCGTCTGCGGTAGCTGTGGATTGTTGTCGGCGGTGACCGAGTGTCGTCAGCCAGCGACTCGAAGCTCCGACTATCGGAGTTTGCCCCCCAAATCCAGTTGGAAATGGGGGGCGGCGAAGGAGGGCTCTGGCAGACGACGGGGCCAGCATTGATGCTCTCAGAGGTGACGTTTGCTGGGATAGCTAGTGAAAGCAATGTGCTCCAGGCATCTGATTGCCTCAGTGTACCGTGCAAGGTGAAGGCCCGCCAACCTGTGATGACATATTCCCAACCGTTGATTCGCGATAAGGGCTACTCGACAATCTGTGTAGTAAAAACGCCTCATGCAACGGCGGATTGGCGATGTCGTACAGTTGAGCGGGGTCGACCCCCGTGTCGTCGGCATTATCTTTCCTTCAAAATTGGTAACAGTGCCGCGACAACCCGGATACCTATGACTAACAACCGAGTTCTTACGTTTCAGGGCCGCGGTTGATAAAAAGAAGCAAGCGAGACTGAGAACCCACAAACCCTGCTTGCCGTTGTTGAGCATTCTCGGTATTTTCCGTGGGTGGCGTGAGGGGAGGGGGGGGCGACCACCGGCCAAAACTCAAAAGAAGGTCCGCTCGGGGCCGGCTGCCAGCATTGTCCTTATACTGTATCGTTGTCACTGTAGTATTGTACTGTAAGATATCCGGTTTGTCAAGTCCCTTCAGGCATCCACAAACTGTCGTCGCCCATCGTATGCCAAGGTTCTTGAAAATGAATATCTGACTGGATTCCTGGAGCGTAAGGCGGGACTATATCTCTCGCGCATGTAAGAGGTCAAGACCTGGCGAGTCCTGATCAGGAGTGTTAGGTCAGAGGGTGGCCATCGTCCACTCCCGCTACCACTACAGTACCACAGGATTGCATAATGCAGACATGCGTGGATAACAACTTCTCGGGATAATTCACCGGTCCAATCCAGTTTCCCCTGGCCTCAGCTGCCAGTCCCAGTTTATAGGAAATACCGGTCATTATGATCCAGGCCATCGCTCACCACACTTATAACAAGTCCACCAGAATAACAAAATTAATGGTATCACCAAACTAAAACCGCTTCAAATACCTAAGGTTCTCCGATTCCAAAATTTCCGCCGGATTCAATCCGCTTTCGAACGCTACACCTTATATGCAACCCAGTGTCAGGTCCTTAGTTGTAATATAAACGCAGATAGACTGATACTGTATTGCTATATCCCAGTTTACATGTATTGTGACACCCATTAGCATGCACGAACGCGTCCTTGCTGAACTGGAGTTGCCCTGGCCACTGTTACTAAGTCTGGAAGATTAAGGAGGATATCTTACAAGCTGATGCACCGCAGACGAGGGGTTTGTTGAGGAAGAAGGCCCGCTAGGAGATGGGAGCACAATGTAGACCACTATTGTGGTGATGTACCGTAGTGCTAGGCGGCTCCGGCTGGGGTGCTGTTTGTGTATAATCCCAAAGGCCGAGACCCATACCTGCGTGGAAATCTTAACCGGACAGGGAATCTAAAGACTGCACTCTCCTTCGGGAGGCGGAGCATCGACTCGAAGCATACGTCTTACCTAGAAAGGTATGGAAGCGAGCCGCCCCTACTTATCTCGTGACAACGTGCCGTAGTGTCACAGTTAAGCCAGCGGGCAGTTTGAAGAGTATGCGGGGCAGAGGACGTGCCCAGCCAATCGTTAAAGGAACCAATGGGAGGTGGAGCGCCTGGGAGCGCTAGGAGCGTGGTGATCAAAGTGATCCTAAGGTGACGCAGGATCACTCTTGGCACCGTGATCCATGGTGAGCCTACGCTGGGAGAAGTGATCGATACTGTCCCTTTTGGGGTTGACTCTCCTGGATCGATCCTCGATCCCATTGATCCTGTTCTGATTGGTCCGTGGTGCGCCCCGCGCCCCACTAAGTGTCAAGCCGTGACGCCACACCACGGCCCAACTGCAATCTACCTGCACGCCGTGAGCCAGTGGTTGGAAGTGAGGCAATTAAGGGCCTCGCGGCTATCAAAGGAAAGGTATTGGTCAACTGGTTATATTAAAGGCCTTGGCAGTGGCCTGAGGGTACGGACCACTTGATGATGGATAAAGACGCGTCCTCTGGACCTATTTGTATTCCTAAATCTTCTTCTTCATCAAGCTGTTCGAGGCCATTGAAGATTATTAGCTGAATTGAACCACGGTTCCAAGCCCTGATATGCAGCCCTTGTCACAGTTGGTATCTTGATTATTGTGATTGAGACAAGCCATTGTTGTACACTGTTTAGCTGTACCGAACCAGGATTGTTCTGAAGCGCCTTCGACTACTATCCCTTTTAGAGGTTTTGGATAGGGGTTCGTCATATGTTGTATATTCACTTTAACTCTGTCACAGATAAGTTGAATGCTACCTTACCACCACCATGGCCGACCACATGAACGTTCAGATGGAAGGCGTTACTGCTACGCCGCCCACCACGGGACATACCACCGCATCGGAAATCTCCACCTTCGAGCAGCTTATCGCACGCATTCGAGAGCTCGAGGGCCGGACCGAGCAGACCGAGGATCAGATCACTGCGATCCACCCAGGCCCGAGACAGGTGGCTAAGTTCCCGGTACCAGAGCGCTATGGCGGCGGGAAGGGGGAGCTTAGAGGGTTCCCAATCCAGCTCAAGACCTATTCTCGTCACTACCCAGACATGTTCACCACCGAGGAGTCCAAGGTGCTGTTCGCAGCCAGCAGACTCAAGGAAGTGTTTGGAGAGTACGATGAGAAAAGGCGTGCGCAGGAGAATCTCGCAAGCCTGCGCCAGACACGCTCAGCAGCCGACTACGCGGCTGCGTTCAAGATCGACAGCCTACGCAGCAAAATCAACGATGCGGGGTTGATGCAGTTTTTCTACAACGGCCTCAAGGAAGAAGTAAAGGGTGAGTTATGTATGAAGTCGAGACCCGACACTATCGACAAGTATATCGCCATGGCCATACGTATCGACGATAGGCAGTTCCAGCGTCGCACGGAGAAGAGAGGCAATACGCGGGGTCACTACGGCAACAACCGTTCCAACGATAAGCGCAAACGGCAATACCCCAGTACTGGCTACTCCAGCACTACCCACGCAGGCCCTATAGAGGTCGACGCTTTTCAGCAACACAGGCCTCAGGGCTGGGGCCAGGGCAGGGATAACCTCAAGTGTTTTAACTGTGGGAAGACAGGACACTTTAAGAAGGACTGTCGGGCACCCAAGCAACTTAAGTGGAAGAAGGAGGCTGCAGTAGCAACCATATCGTAAGGGGTAAAGGTTATAGAGATCGTAGCCGTCAGCTACAAGGAAAAATGTGGGAGGTATTGCTCCCGGCGGATTATTCAAGCAGGTTGCTTCAGGGCTTCGGCCCTGAGGCCTGCTTATTGGTGAAGGATAAGGAAGGCTTTTGCTCTCCGGAGCTGTGTGACGAACCCCTGTACAGAACCTCTGAAAGGGATACTGGTTGAAGGCTGCTTCTGACAATTGGTTCGGTGCGGCTAAACAGTGCACAACAAGATGTCTCAATGTAAACACAAGATACCGTGAATACAAGCTGTGATTGCATACTGCGGAACTGTCTGTCTACACCAGCCAGTTCCTCCGTATATATAGACCTCAATCCTCTAAGTACCTCCGTACCTGGCTCACCTCGATCAACAAGTGAGCGCCCCACTGTCCTGCAGCCCCGCCGTTGTCTTTCACTTGATTGGCCACCACGGCTTGCTGCAGTCTCCACTCTGCCTTGCTATATGGTTGGTCTGTGACAAGCTGCTTGTAAAAGTATCTAAGAATATCATTGACTATTACACATCTCTGCGGATGTACAACAGGTTAAAAGTCCCTTTTAAGCTTCTCTAATCAGTATTTCGATAATTTCACCACTGTTTTAACTAGTAGTACCGTCCGACAGAGGATCCTATCGTCTCTAATCGTCCTTTTTCGTTACCTTCGTTCTGCTAGCTTTTAGAGGGTATTTCCAACAGTAGTAAAATCGATAACCGAGTTTATGTCACAGTTAACCCAACAGCAGGCCGCGCCACATGTGGGGCGCAGGACGTCCCCAGCCCAATCATTAAGGAAGTCAGGGAACAGCCAATCAGAGTTGGACAAAAGTGCTATGGCGCCAAGGCTCACGAGCACTTGCAGGATGCAAGATGCTAAGGGTGATCGGGGCCGTAGCAGGGCGAGCACCTCACGGTCCCGAGGTCTATATATACGAAGAAACTGACTGGTGTAGATAGACAGTTCCGCAGTATGTAATACAAGTCACAATCGTTGGTATCTAAACTGTTGTGATTGAGACAAGCCATTATTGTACACTGTTTAGCTGTACCGAACTAGGATTGTTCAGAAGTGCCTTCAACCAGTGTCCCTTTCAGAGGTTCTGGATAGGGGTTCGTCACACCCGGCAACTGTCGAATGCTGCAGTCAAAGTCTTCTTCGCTCTCAGTGTACTGCGCCGATAGCTATTTGAGCCTGTATTTACAGGCCTCAATAGCACCTATTTCAACATAATTTAAATTAGCTCTAAGTAGGGTAAGTAAATTCTAAATAATCTATAAGCGAGGTAAGCAGACTTTAAGCAGTCTCTGAGCGAGGTGAATAGACTGGAGCCGAAGATGAGCTAGTCCTAAGCTCTACCTAATTCAGGACAGATAAACCCGTGAGAAGTCACATGACGAATTGTGTCCAGATTCCGGTGTTACAACAGCGTGTGTGATTCAAAAACTACTTTTCATCTTGCTTGATATTCTTGCTTGAGATCAACCAAGCTTAAGCATTGTATCCTATGTAGCTTCCCCTCCATCGTTCCAATTACACCTGAATCCAAAACCGTCCAAAACTACAAAATACCAAAACAAGAATAGCAAAACCCCAACACCATCGCAATGCTCTAATCAACTCCCATCAAAAGAAACCTCCCCCTTCAAGCCGCCACAGCCGTCTGCACAGTAACACCCTTCTTCCTCTCTCCAATCCTCTCCATCCTCATCTCCTCTCCCACCTTCCTATGCGCCTGCGCCAGCACCCTATAAATGTTCGCCAGCTCATAATCCCCATTCCACTCAAACCCCTCCGAGCTCCGTCCTGCGACATCGCTCAGCCTGGCGTGGCTGCTCTCGGTCAAGTCACAATCAATCACCCAGTGCCCCGACCCTTTGACAGGAAACCGATAAACGATGTGCTTCCACTCCGAGCGCCTAATCTCCATCTGTCTGGCTCTGTCATAAGCACTGTCGGGGGTGGCGCGCATCTGGGAGGCGCGCTCCATGGGAGAGTCAGGGTTTAATGCCCAGTTTGGGTCGATGGGTGGGGCCAGAAGGTTGCTGTCTTGGGTTGGGTTGAGTTGGAGGGCGAGGCCTAGGTTGGCTTTGGTTAGGGAGAGGTTGTAAGGCCTCAAGGGGGCGGGACGGGAGGCGGAGAGGGGTGGGATGGGAGGGGGGAGTTGAGTCGTGGTGGTTGGTTGGGCTTCCTTCTTGTCGTCGGGGGCGTCGTATACAGAGGATGCTTTGGTGGACTGCTGGGGGGAGGCAGAACGGGAGGTGTTGCGGGCGGTGGTGGGGTTGTCGTTTGTCGTGGAGGCCATGTTGGGGGATGACTTTCCCGGGTGGTGGTTGTCGTCACTCGGGTTGGGTGACAAAATACCGCCGATGGCGGGAGTGGAGTTGGCACCGGTGCTGTTGAGGTTGTCGTTGATGTTTCGGCTCGACATGGGGGGACTGTGGTAAACCATGGAGAGGGATGGTCCTTGGTTCTGTTCCGGGGACATCATGGGCGATCCAAACATTGTTGTTGGTGGTGTTTTGACGATGGCGTCCATCTTATCACCGGCACGTTCTGACAGAGGTGGACTTTGATAAGCCATGGCGATGAGTTGATTAATCTGCTCCCCAGTGGGTAGTTGGGGCGTTCTTTTGAGAGTGGCTGGAGGGCGCGGAGGCGAGCGAGGGCGGACGTTTCTGTAACGAGACGACGGCAACTTGGGAGAAGGTCTTTTCAAGGGAACCATGAACAAGTCCTGGTCACTGGCGCTATCGACAGGTTCGATCAGTGGGGCAGATTCGCTGGTGATGGAGTTGTTGTTGGGCTTGAACTCGACGTCCATGATACTGTTGAATGCGAGTCGAGGATGTTTGTGGGTTAATAACGAAGGGAATAACAGGGCAAAATACTTGATGATGTTCTAGTATTTTTCCTGATCTGCTTTGTTTTCGAGATGTGCGTCGATCAGTCTGGGGAAGGAGGCCCGTTTGTTTATATGGGAATGTTGACAGTGGTTGAAGTCGATGCCAGAAGGGTGACTCCATCGTGGTCCCCATGCTCCAAGACGGGCATGGCTGAATAGGTGTGAATGATCGTGGCCATCTTTCGGCAGTCTGGGGTCGTGAGGTCTGAAACGGGACAGCAGAGGCTTCTGGCTGGGAGCCCTGTTAGTGCAAGCCATGCAGGGCACGCAAATCTGCTAATACTCGTTTATGCACTGGCAGTGAAAACCGGCTGGGTGACCTTGAAGTGGGCAGCGGGTGATGGACCGGTCGTCTGTCAGAGTGCTTTTGTCCTCCGACGAGAAAGACCACAACACGACCTTGACGTCAGTGAACAAAAGTCCATTTGCATTTGTCGGGCCCAGGCCGGTACTTGGTTTGAAACAAGTACCCCCGTTTGAAACCCGCCGCATCTGAAATCATCCCAACAACCAGCGGGGTTCTGGCGGCCCAGTTGCTGCACCGGTGAGGCGCAGTTGTTATCTTCAAGGGCCAACAACAGCCCCGCGTGAAAAGAGACCAACCGGAATGCAAGCGCCAACCACCGCATGGAAAATAAGCATGCTGTGCCTCTATTTGCGGTGCTTAAGAACAAGTGTGGACAGACATTGGACATCTCGAAATTGATTACGATTCCCTGTCTAGATAGCTCCCTACCTCTGGTAGAGTATCTAGATCCTAGTCTCAATGCCACCTCATGTGATTGATATTATCGTCCCCGTACGAGACCCTTCCATCACCTCATGTCCCGCTGGGTGCACCCTTCAATCTCTCCAATGCCGCGGTAGCCTATTTGGCAGGCGAGTCATCACGCATGCAACTCACGGTATCCGCGACATCCCAGCATGTGATTGCCTTGATGCGGTCGTGGAAGTATGTGTCGGTAATGTTGGTGGCAACTGTGGCCTGGAAACGGTTGTCATCACAGTCGAGCCCACTAAGACAAGATGATTAGCTGACAAGAAGAGGAAACTGGTGCTGATCAGCAAAGATGATTCGTATTACGTACGTGAACCAGGAGCAGCAGGTGCTGTTATCATCGTTTCTGAACGAATCGATGGCATCCTTCCACTCATCGGCAAAGTTGACTTTGGGCACATGTGTTAGCATTTCAAAGCTACAGGCACAAAGGCGTACCACTCACCACAAGAGCCGAGAGGCAGAGTCTTGTCAGGGGGACCAAAGCTGGAACATTCGCCCTGGAACAGGGGGTCCTTGCAGAAGGTGACGCTGCCATAGCCCTCGTTGTCCTGAGCCTTCACCTCCAGCTCAGGCATGGCAGGCTCGGCATCACGCTCCGCCACGGGACGTGGGTTGTAGTAGAACTCTTCAGCGTTGGCTTCGCATCGATACGACTTGATTGCATCATTCCACTTGCCGGCACCCAGCGCGTCGGCCGTCTGGGTGCTCAAGGGCTCCGACTTCTCGGGACAGTCGAGCTCACTGCAACAATTCAGAAACCGTGGTTATCCCCAAGAAGTTACCGTGATTACCCACGTCCACCATCTACAGCACCAGTCCACCTGATTGTGGTTGGTGTAGGAGCTGATGGTGTTTTGCCAGTCACTGGGAAGGTTGTCTATTGCAGAAACTCATCGTCAGTGAAGACTCCAATGAAGGGAGTTGCGGAGAAGAAGGAGATACGTACAACACTGCATATCCTTGCGGTCTTTGTCAAATAACTGCTTGTCGCCCTGGAAATTCTCATCCTTGTAGTAGGTGATGCTGGCGCCAGGAGCACGCTGTCTCTTCTCGAGAGCGGGGATAGCTGAAGCAAGGGCAGAGCCAGCGCCGAGGGCGGCGGCGAGGAAGGAGACGATCTTGGAAGAGATCATGAGATGCGACTGTTGTTTGGTGTGATTTACTTGTTGTGGTTCTGGGTGATGTATGTTGATGGGAAAATAACCCTTCTCAGTTCAAGAAGACAAGAGGACTTTAGTGCTCACACTTGAAGAGCCTCTGCGGCCTCATGAAAGTTCTGAGTATCCGCATCCCGGCCCGCAGCGGAGCAACATGAAGTAGCTCCTGATGTCAGAGCTGCTTAGATTGGCCGAGGATTTCAGGAAGTCGTGCCAGAGCCACCGGTCCGGAGACTGTGGAGCGAGTCTTATCATTCTCAGGTGGGACGACTCAATAATATGGGGAGATTACTTCACCGGACTGCCCAGTTAACCGACGCCTTCTCAGGCATTTCTTTGTCGTGCTCCCCAACTGTTGGAATGGGTGGGTCATGCCGGTCATCAGGTGTTTGAGACCACCTGGCAGTGGCTTCTCCTGCCCCTGCCCCGCAGACGATGACGAAGGCGGGGAGCCCAAAACGGGATGAGAACACGGCTGGGAAGGAAGGATGGGAGTTACGGCCGAGCGCATCATCATGGCTGGATGCTGTGACCAACCCACTCCCATGCAGAAGGAGAAATCCCGATTGACTTTGAAGATCATTTTAAACGAGTAGATATCAAACATCACAACCACATTAATGGAGCCGTTATACCCTGCACTGCTTGCAGTTTCTTGTCTCAAGGGTAGGGTCCTCGTATCTGTGCCAAGCCAATTCAGGGGTTCAGGGGGCCATAATGAGGGACAACAAATCCATCCACCAGATCATACAGATATAGTGGAGAGCATAGGCACAAACAGCACAGCGGCGCTGAATAAAAGCATGTTGGGGTTTGACTTTTGGATTTAGCTAAAGAGCTGGCTGGACTGAAAGGCAGAAACCACCTGAAGTTAGGTATTACCAGACTAGGATAGCTCTGTGAAGTGAGTGCTTTCCTTGTGCTTTGCCTGTCCTGCTCTTTTTTGTACCTAACTCACGCGTCCAAGTCTCGCTACCAATCCCCTTATTTTGTCTCTCCCCAATCCCCTTCCACTGCCTCGTACCAACTCTCTATTATTTTCTCGCGCTTGAAGCAAGTACCCATAGACCGGAGAACACGACGAAGGTGGGCTTCACGGTAGCGTGGTATTCGTACTTGATCCAACTACCAAGGAAACGGACTTCGTTGATCATCTTCCACCCATTGACACTCCCATGGGATTGCATCTTCACGGTTCCTGGAGGCCAAAATAGTGACTATATCAAAACTAAACAGGATTATGGATCACAATGGTCCTTACCGATCTGGATCCTCGAGAAGATCATGTTGCTGTCTAAGGCGCTGAATCCACTCGCTCACTGAGATGTAAGGTTCCAGATCGACGGAGAGGCCTTCCAGACGATACTTCCTAGCTGCGAACATAGCGCTGTCCCTTCTGCGACCCAGATGGGTAAGCCATATATTGTGGCCACGATCAATTCCCTCCACCGAAGGGAAGAAGCAGATAGACGTAAGGATCCTTAACGCAATAACTTGGTTATAGAAGGTAAGTACCTCGCCAGCATGCGCGGGATTATTTAAAGGCGAGATCTTAAGGTAGTCGTAAGTATTAACCTACCCCTTGTGCTATTAAGTCAACCCGTAGATGACATCTTCTGCCTTTGGTGCTTATGACACCATGGAGACTCGGACGCTGTCGGCTGCTCGCAGCGAAAAGCGTCTTTGTGAAGCGCCTGTGAATGATAAGAGTATTGGTCCAGGTACCGTGTGGAGGCGGGAAAGCTTACCTTGCATTTATCGCTTGGGAACGAGTCTTCGGAGGCCATTTTGGTGTCCCAGCTGGTTTGTACGTGGTCTTGAGTTCACGGGAATTGATTTGTGAAGGACTCCTTGTTAGAGTTAGTGATACAAGTGACCTAGCAATTAATACTGATAGAATGCAGCTGAATAAAGAGAAGGTGGGAGAGAAAAGAGAGAGAACGCCGACAGTTGCTTCATGAAAAAGGTTATTTTATATCTATACTATTAGGCTCTAGCCATGCCAAACCAAATCGAAGGGAATTTTAGGTTGGGGGCACCTGTGATATATCTGTGGGGCAAATAAGCCTGAAAGCGTTGTATATGTGTTGAACTATAATGAGTATGCTCTTCCTGGCTTGCAGTGAATGCTTGATGAATAGCGGTTGATACTCAGTGAATATCGTACGTCCAACCACCATCATAAGCAGTCACCCGACCTCCGTCCGGCATAAAAACCCAAGTTGATAAGCGTGAGTTGATATATGGAATCGATCCCTACCTAGCTCAGTTCAGAGGTGTGATGCTGTTCTTCCACGACAAAAGCCAAGACAGGATCAGTCCCTACAAGGAAACTAGCCAGAGACCTCTTCTGTTAGGTTTACTGTCAATAATGGCTTGGTCTAAAAAGCTATAGTACCTACTAATTGAAAGTTTGAGCAACAAATACTAGGACCGAAATACTGTACGGAAAACATATAAATATAAGGTAAGGTAGCTAACTGTCACTGCTAAATCTTCATCATCACCAATGACTTCGTGATCAACAATGGGCCTTCTCCATGTCTTAGTTGCTCGACAGGCAACGAGGTGTTTGGGTCCGTCATGCTCTCCTAACTTAAATGTGTCTGGTAACTCTCATGCACGCCCAACCAGATTGCGAAGCCACCGGAAAGCCAAGTGAAGGTTTGTCTAGTGCAATACCCGCGGGATTCTGAGGCCACATGTCTTCGTAATGTGTCTTTATTAATCATAGAGTTCACTGGATATAGATGAGGTGGAAAGTCTATAGTTGCAACCATAATGATGTTTGGACCCTGAGCTTGATGCGACAGAGTAAAATTTCAATCGGTCAATGTGACGGGACATGGACGGACGACTTGTGAGGCACATCAAGATTTTCAGGATGTTTATTGGTAACTCGAGAAAATCTTCACCCAATAGTTTGAAACAAAAACGTTAAAAAATGCTGTCAAACCTTGAACAACTTGGAATCTTCCAAACACACCCTGTCAGGAAAAAAAAAAAAAGGCCAAAGCCCCTAAGCCAGAGCTCAATCGTAGCAAAACAGCAAAGTGAGGTTGTAATGTATAATATGTCAGAAAGAGTAAACGCAAAGAATGCATTCAACATGTTATCCAAGGTGTGTGTTCAGCACTCCAGAAGCCATCGGGCCTCTACCAGGGAGTTTCATCTGGCACAAAATCGACCGATTCTTCGGCCCATTCAAGTTGTCTAGCAGCCTCCTCCTCGTCACGGCTAGTATCAAGACAATATTCCCTATTCGTCTTTTCAATCCACTCATTCCACTCCTCTTCTGTCCGCACGTATGGTTTCGGCTTTTGTGGTTTCTCCTGGCGGGGATCATGCTCGTGGGTTCTTTCCACAATCTTGGCGAGAACACCCTTCGAATCGCAGCCATATTCCATTCCTTCTCTTGGCAAGTCCCTAGAAAACCACAGTCGTTAGATTAGTTTGACATTGGACGGGCACGAGAACTTGGGTGCAGTCATCCACTTACCGTTCAGGCTGGTCAAAGAGATGATGCTCTTCAGCCAAATCAGCAACCCATCTTTCCACCGACTTGTACGCAGAAAGGTCGAAGCCCTCTTTCTCCCTCTGCTCCCGCACGAAATCAACCAGTGCGTCCCGACGCCACTGCAGAGAGCGGATGTATTGAAAGTGGCCATCCTCGGGTTCACACCACGTAGGATAAGGGTTGGGGTAAAATATCATCGTGACCAGGTAGCGGCGGGCGATGACGGAGTTGTGGAAGTTGAGAGCCTCCAAGGCTTCTCCGCTTCCACCCGGGAAGTGCTCGCTCTCCAACTCTTCAAAAGGCAGTCTCTGATAGCACCCTTCGACCCTCTCCTTACCTTCGTTGATCTGTCGCTGGAGTGCTTGTCTGAGTTCTTCGTGGTGCTGACAGTGGAAGTTGCAGGTAACTGCCTCTATATTACACGCTCCGCCATCCCGGTGGATTGCCTGTAGGTAGGCCTGTTAGATTCCGATAATGATACCACAATCAACGCATGGCGTTACATGGAGTCTTACCTGGCACCTGCGTACCCATTCCTCTTCACTATCCTCCAGCTCGTGTTCGAGGCATTCCTTCTCTTCGCCCTCTGGTATTTGAGCAACCGCTTCTGGCTGTGCCTCCTTTACCAAGTGCTCCGAGAAGACATTGCAGGGCCTAGGAAGTCTTTGGAGGATATTCAACGACGATTTTTGTACCCGATGCGAGAACTTGTCCAAGATAGTCATTTTGTAGACGACCGACTGGCCTTAGTGAGCGGTGATTGGTCAGGACGCTGACTTCAGATATATCGTCTGCACGCGAGGGAGTGGCTACTGGCTGTCGTTGACAAATGGTATATGATGATGATGGTTGAGGGACAAGGGAGAAACGAATCAAGAAATAAAAATGAATCGTGAAGGTAATAATTTAACAAACGGTTAAGGTAGAGTTCAGCGCAGTATTAGGTTTCACACATCCATCTGTGTCAAACCCAAAACCACCATTTGACCCACATGGCTAACCCTTAACACCACCCAAAGTATCAAAGTCATTTCCATGATGATAGGCTTCTGTACAGTAGAGTCACGAGCCTCAGGCTCCCTATGTCCACTTTGCAGACGCGAAAAAAGTCTAACAAAAAAGGCTGAAGTTGAGCTTCGGACCCCGCATATCCTCAAAGTTAGAATTACGCTTCTCCAAAGAGAACCTCATGATGGGTGAAAATAATACCAGGTCGATCTTTGAATCTCTAGGGCAATCAGGAGGTTGCGTTAAGATCAAGACAAGTCTGTAAATTGCTTCTATATGCAAACCAACCCCTCAGTCCCCAATTACAATGACCAATCAGAATCACCTTCCTGATCACAATCTCCACTCCACTCTTCGTGATCCCAATCACCTTCGTACTGTTTGTGAGCCCAATCAGCCTCGTACTTTGCGTGAAGCATACGACGCAGAAACGGTCTAATGTATCGTCCCTCCATTCCTACCAACTCTTGTAGCGATATCCGCAGGTCGTCCAGTCTCGGCAGGACATTCCAATACCAGAAGCTCCTGCATTCACAAATGGCGGTCCCGCGAAGCCTTTGCCATAGCGACCATTTCGGTGTTTCAAACTGGTAGGTACGTATTGATAGCCTCGGATCAACCTGCTCGTCACGCACGATGATTCGGGCGATGATATCTGACATGTCTTTTCCTGGCTCGCAAGGCGTTGTGGAAGGGTGGGGAGGAGGTCTAGTACAAGACAGAAAGGTCAGCACCTGTAACTAGGTCACCTCTCTGGATCTGTGAAAAGACCGAATGCTTCGATAAAATAAAGCATCCGCCACTCAAACGACCTGAGACCCTCCAAACCGGATTCGGCCGGTCAGGGTTTTTTAATAATAGCGTTATAGTTTTAGTCGGTTGGTAGGATAGGGGGCAGGAAATATAAGTTTATTTTAAGATGTAGATGATGGTAGACTGGTGAGCAAAGGATTGGAAGAAGATTGACAGCACGCTTTGTACTGGTCGAAGACATGATCAGACTTTGGGACAATTTTCTGGCTTCCACGCCATCAATGTGTGATAGATTCAAAAGCTACGCGTGACGAGAAACGGGTTTTCCGGCAAAGAAAGTCTTAATCTGTGTGATAAACCTGCCTGGCACGTGGAAAGGTGGCGCTGGTTTAGGCACTGCCAAGCTCACCAGCCCCGGGCATAGGCTCTTGGGGCTCTCCTCTCAGCGGTTTGCATTTCACTGGTCGGATTTAACTGGGTCTGTAAGCCACGCATACCTCATGGGTGGTTTGATGCTAGATGAACGCCGGGTTCTCGCTGACATGTGGTACATCGAACTCCAAGCGTCTTCAGAGCTTCGCTGCATCCCCATCGCTGCGTCGGCCCGCAAACCCAGTGCCCGTGTAGAGCACTGCTGTGTTCTCGCCAGCAATGCTCTGTGTCTGCGGGGAGGTAATGCCAAGATCGAAGAAACGGACACTGAACAACCAGTACATGATGGACCGAGGCGAGCGACTCTCATCCCTGTGTGTGTACTCATTCATGTCAGGGCTACTAACCAAGGGAAACAGAAACATGCCACTGGTGCGTAGCTCCCGTCTCCAGCGCGTTTTTTGGTGTTTCCCGGCCGCCTGGGCGCTATGGACATAGCTTAACCCTCGTTGGGTCGTTCCTGGTCATCTTTGGCGGGCAGATTGAGGGCTATTCCCGCAACGAAACTGACCTGGAACTCCTCCAGTGGGTACAGCCGAAACCCTCAGATGACGAGAGGTCAGCACCACCGCCGAGAACCAACCACAGCACTGTGGTGTGGAATACTAAGATGCATATGTGCGTAGCTTTCTATCCCCCGACCCAAAAATCGCAATCCTAACCAAGGCTCCACGCGACCTAGCTTCGGCGGCACCGACGGCTACACCTGGTACAACGATATGTGGAGCTACGAGCCTGAAACCAACAGATGGGAACACATACCCACTGATACCAGGCACTGGAAAAGGCCGACCAGGCGCGAGGGTCACGCGGCAGCTGTGGGGGGAAACAAGATGTGTGTGTGTGGTGGACGATCAGAGATGGGCGAGGATCTCAAGGACTTTTGGATCTTTGACATGGCGGAGCGTCGCTGGCGTGACTCGCTCTAAAACATGGACGGCCTTCCTTCGCCCCGCAGCGGGCACTCCATGGTTGTCATCGGGAAGCACATAGTTGTACTGGGGGGAGAGCCGAGTTCGAGTAAGCATGCTAACTGGGAAGAGCTCGCCTTGGGCTACGTGCTCGACACGACGAAATTTCAAACACCGCAAACATCTTTGAGACTGTCTTACCCAACCCCCTTGAAGAAACAACTGTGGTAAGTACCACGCCGGATATGGCGTTGCAAAAACACCCAGAATAGAGCCAAATCTTCGTGGGGTGACTGCAAAGCCGGTTAGGTGGTACATGATAGTATGTAGAACCATGCTTCTCGAATAAACTTGCACCCTTTTAACGAGGTCTTTACAGGCTTCAAAAGATAGTTCATAGGCCTTGAAAGATAGTAAATAGGTCCGGAAGGATAGTTAATAGGCCTTAAGAGATTGTTCAAAGCCCTCAAGAGATAGTTAGAGGCCCTTAAAGTGATAGTTCATAGGTTTTATAAGATAGTTAGTAGGCCTAGAGGGATGGTCAGAAGGCCCCTTAATATTCAAAGAGGTGTAAGCTAACAGTGATCTTACATTTTACTCCTGCAGTTCAGTTATCGCCCACAGCGGGCTACGTGCTCAAGGTAGGTACGCAGCCTAAAAGACGACATTAGTGATTCAAACAAGGGAAATGAGGAGAATGCAAAGATTAGAGGTAGAGTTTTGACAAATACTATTTCATATTCCAAATAATCCTATACAAGATATGTACCAGCCCATCACAACCATGCAGAAATAATGTACAAGAAAAAAACAACATACACAAACTGATTGACTATACCGCCAACAGCTAGAAATCCCTGTAACCAAACATGGCCAAAGAAAAAGAAAAGAAAAAAAGAAAAAAAAACGCCTATGCAATGTTCAACTCCTCCCCAGGCCTGTTCACCAACTGCTCCAACGAAGCACAAACATCATCCAACAACTTCACCGCCTCTTCCTTCCACGACTCAAAAGTGATAACCTCAATGGTCAAGGTATCCCCATCATGGAAAGCCTGAATCTTCCACTCCCTCAACGGCTCTTCGTATGCATACAGCGTCTCAAACTTGGCCTTGCGGTCCAAGAATGACAAGGTCTCGACGTGGGCCACATCCTGGTGAACGACCGTGTCGAACCAGGTCACCTCCTCAGGATCCCAGTCTGTGCAGTTCCGGACAATCTCCTCCAGACCCATGCAGTCGTGCGAAGAAGTCATCATGTGCTGGGTCTGGAGGGCCTCGAGCAGGTCGTAGCCGGTGCGAATGGGGACGTCGCCATCGAACTTGACGCGGGTAAGGACGTACTGCCAGCAGGGGCCGGCGATGGCGTTGGCGTCGGGGATGCCGGGTATGTCGACGCTGCGGCCGGAGGCGACTTCGCCGAATACCACGTCCTTGACCTTGAGCAGACGGGCAAAGGTCAAAGCCCAGGCTGCGGAGGGAAGGGTAGCTACGGTCACGTCGCGGCTGCGGGCGGCGATGTTGACGGGCTTGTGGATGGCAAAGTGGCGGCGGTCGGTGATGGGGGTGTCAGGTCTCAAGAGAGAAATACCCTCAGAACCGGCAAGGAGGTCGCGCCAGTAGGGGATGGCAGCGGGAATGCCCTCTTGGATGGTGTGGTCGACAAAGGTGGAGAAGGGGTACGATGGAGAGACCGACTTGGGGTCCTGGTACAGCTGCTGGAGCTGATTGAGGAAGATGGGAAGGCAAATCTCATCGTACTGGGCGTGGGACAGGCGGAAGACAAGGGTGCTCTTGGTGCCGTTGGTGACAAAGAACCACTTGACGAAGGAAGAACCATAAGGCATCTTGGTTTGGGCATCCAGTCTGCTGACCTTGCCGGCAAACTCCTCGACATCGTCACCGTCAATCTCATATTCGACAATGTCGACAATGAAGGGGTTCTCGATCACCACGCTGTAGCAGACATCATCAAGGCGGACATAGACGGTGCGAAGGACTTCGTTGATGGCGACAAGCTCTTGGCAGGCACGGAAGAGCTGCTTCTTGTTGACCATGCCCTCAAAGTGCATGAGCTCATAGCGGATGGAGAAGCGAGGAAGCTCAACGGTACCCCTGACGGCAATCTCCTGGAGAGGTCTGGTGGGGAGAACATCGAGGATCTTCCATGACTTGTCGGCCAGCGATCTCTGCATACGACGCATGAAGGAGGTCAAGAGGAGAGAGAAGGGCTGGTAGTCGGCCTTGGAGGGACTGGATGGGCTCGCGGGAGAGCTGCTGCCCTGGCCCCTTTGAACGTTGGTGATGACAGTGGGCGATGGCTGCATGACATTGGCCATGTCATACAGAGTCCGGTTGGCAAAGACCTGCGCGACGCTGAGCTGCATTCCCTGCTGACGGGCCTCGGAGACGAGCTTCATGGCGGCAATCGAGTCGCCACCACGGTTGAAGAAGCTGTCACCAAGGAAGATCTTGTCCTCATCGACCTTGAGAAGACGACTCCATATGCCCCGGAGCAGCTTTTGCTTGGCAGAGGAAGCAGAGATGGCAGGGCCAGACGAAGCAGCCTTCTTCTTGGGGACAGTGAAATCGGGCTTGATCTGGGCCGACTTGGGGAGCACG